TTTGAAGGGGGTTCCCAGCGTTTTGGGTCCCTCAGGTTCTTCGGCAGTAAGCTGACCTTGGCCCACTCCGCGATAGGATGTGTAAAATGACAAAGTAGTCTTGCTGTGGGTGGACCAAATCCACTTCGCACCAGTGGATGAATGGTTGACAAACTATCAATGGGATGAAACGCCTGGAAAGACTGGCTGATAAGCCACCAATCGGATGAAACCCTATGAATCCCAACTGGTGGATTCTTCCAAGGGTTTCGCCTCTCCATCACGGCAGGGCTCGGCTCATCGCTTTGCCTCAGGCTGGCGTCTCTGCAGGGCGTCGGCGCATCGCCGAAGGACATCGCAGCGTACCTCACGGCGGGGGCCAAGGCCTTTGTGTGCCGCGGCAGGATCTCTGGGTGTGCGCATGTGGGTGTGTTCATAGCAAAAAACAAAGATCCCGGTATCCGGCTTCCTGGATTTGTGGGTTTGTTTGACGGTATCCTGGTGTTGTTTCGTGCTTGGTTCAGATGTCAAAGCTTAAGCTCTCATTTGCAGGTTTTGGATTTGCAAATCACTGCACTTTGGATTTGAAGGGAAAAGAAGCCTTTTGCAGTTCCATGGCTGCGAGGTTTACCTAGCTGAACTCAAGAGGATGCTAGATGCAGAAAAGGATCGGGGTGTGTCAAAGGAAAAACAAATGTTCACGTCCCCCAGCCTGTGGACTTTCAACTTTTTGGGCAGATCAATTTAGAGTTGAATGACATGTCTAGACTTGTCTGATCAGTTCACTCAGGAAGAAGGCAAGGTAAAATCGTAATCTGCTAAGTTCTGGTTCGATGGCAGCCCTTCAGCCAAGGTGGACATCCCCGAACAAGTAAGTGTACGCATTTGTGTAGATGGGACTTCGCTAGGCTGTCAAACTAGGGATGGCTGGGACTATGGATGGGGGACAGTGTTCAGCCTGTGCCCCAAACACAACAGGTTGTTGGCGGGCCCCTGTCGCCGAAGCCTTTGCTGAACGCTGGAGTTTTTGTTGGCAGTATTTGCGCGCTGCACGCGTCCAGAGAGCTGAATTTGACGTTGGCTCGGCAAGGTGTCGAAGCCGAGGGGTGCTCAACGACATCAAACTCGTCATGTTACGGGCATGTTTTGAGGCGAGTCCCTGAGAGCATTTGGTTCCTCACATGCTCAGGCCACTGGTATGGTTCCCTCAGACGTCTACCAGGGTTACTCGGATGCGGAACTTGGGGAGAGGGCCCTTTGCGAAAAATCGGGCCAACCATGTACGTCGGAAGATTCCTCCCCAAAGCCTTTTTGGTCTGGTGTCTATGCAAGCCACCAAAGCAGACACCCAAAAGGTCAGCAACCCAACGCCAAAACCACCCGCAGCTATGGCTGTTCTTTGTGGCCGAATCGCCACTTAGACCTGTTGGAAGCACGTGGCATTGCAATTCAACATATGCAAGGGTAGACTGTTTGCTCAGGCCCTGGAGAACCTATGGTTATAACCAGGGCAACTGAACCAACCCCGTTTACCCTACTTGTAAGCATCGTAACTCCCTTCACCCAAGCAGATGGCGCGGCTTGCAACCCTGGCAGTGAGGTCCGCGCCTTTGTGGCCCTGCCTGTACCTGGGTTTGAACCTCTGCTTCAACGTCAGCATCCTGGTGCTGCTTCGTACCACCTCCGCGGTCTCAGCACCTTCGCAGAAGGGTCGAGTGACCAAATCTTTCTTCGTTTTCTTTGTTGGGGGCTCCATTTACCCAGACCTCCAGCGGCAAGAACCGCCTTTCGCTGAGGTAACTTAGCTACAGTTGGCCTTCAGAACCCAGACTGTTCCTTAGTGGACAGGGATTCTCGCAGCCTTTGCAATATGACCAAACAAGCGTCAAAATTTGGTCGGCGTTCCTTTTGGTTCCCTTCAACCCACCGAAAAGGCCCCCTTTCCAACAATCCTGGAAGCTGACTTGGAAGGGTGCTGGTTAGAACCACCCGTTTTTGTTACGGGTCCCAGAGTTAAGGAAAGGAGGAATTCAAACTCTAGCCTTATGGAAGCACCCTTCGGTCGGAAAGCGAGGGTAGACCGCAAGGACGCCCATTTGGGTATTTGGCCCCCCAAAGAAGGACCAAGCCTCCGTTTGGGTCACCGATTTGGAGTCACGAAGAGGTGTCGCTGTCGGTGGCTATGGCGGTTCCAATGACCGCCCTGGTCTTCGCCTCCTGCGACGTGCCCTTGCTGGGCCGCGGCCAGCCGCTGGACAGGCGCGCTCAAAGGAGTTGGAGCCTTGAGGCGTTGAGGCTTGGGTTTTAACGGATCCCTAGAGATGGTTGGTTTCCCCTTCAGTCCTTTTTTTTTTTTTTACGTCGGTGAGGCCTAAAAAGGTCCTTTATTTGAGAAACCTTGATTTGGGGGGCTTGGACCCGGAAAGGACCCTGAAAAATGGGAGGGGGTCAATGTTTCAACACATTTGTGTATAATCATGAGTCACGACCGCACTCTACAGGTCAGGACAGCCATCCATTCACTGCGTTGTTTGTTGCTTGAGAGGTTCTATTGTGTTCCATGTTTGTTCAGGAGCTCCGTTGTAGATAAGGCTGGAAAAGCTCCAGTTTGCTTGGCACTCCTCTGCACCCAACCACACGCGCACCAGGTCATTCGGCCTGGGTTTGGTGCTGATCTTGGGGGGCCTCTGCCTCTACCACGGGTGGATCCGCAAGTTCCTGGCGGCGCGGAAAGGCGGCTGGCCTGCGGTCTGAGGGGCAACCGGGCAAGAGCCTAAATACTTGCAATGGGATGCTTGAAACCAAATTGAGGCAGCAAGCGATAGTCTGTGTGTAATTATGTTGCCCCTAACAATGTGTGCTGTTTTGGTTCCAAGAGCGAGCGTGCCGTCGCACTGTGCGGGCTGATTGGGAGTTCTTGTAGATGACTTGGACATGTGCCGCTCGTGCGTTGCTCCCAGATTCTATGCGAAATGATTTTCCGGAGGATTGCTGGTGTGGCTACATAACCCTGTTGCGGACGGACAAATTCCATTTGATGGTGTAGTCCATCCACAGGTCAGGTTACCCCTGGCGGCGTGATGTGTAAGGAGGAAACATAGCGAACCCTGCAGTATGTTCTGGGTTATGTATTCGTGTTGGGTGTGGTTCCCATCGTCCATGTTTAGCCGAGGGCCGTGCCATTGCCAAGCCAGGGAAACATTCTGAGCCAAAGGGGTCACCTTTGGAAGCCGTGGGCGCCTCATGCGACGTGGTAGGCGTCCTCGCCGTTTGTAGCCTGGGCTGAAGGGTAATTTTGTGAATCCGCGAATCTCAAGCCAGGAAGGGTCCGAAAAGCAGAATGAGGACATGGTCGAAGAGAAAGCCCCAGCATAGAACTCATTTGGTTGCGCAGTGAGCGTTCCAGCATGTCACCTCTTCAATTTGGTGCGGAACCCGGGACAAATGTGAAGCATCTACAAGCAAGTCGCAGCCACGCATCTAGAACTCGGGGCCTGACCTGTTGGTCATAAGACACAAGGGACTATGGAAAGGGAAAGTCCACCAACAACCCCCCCCCCAACCACCAACCGCCCCCCCCCCCCCCAACCACCCCCCCCAACCAAGAGAGGGGCACAACATCCAGGTGAGGGCGACCTCGCCGACCCTCTTCTTCAGTGACAGCGACAGCTCGCCTGGAGCCGAACTTTTCGTCCTGAGCAGATCCTGCAACAAAGGAGTTTCTCAAAAAGGGTGAAACCCCTTTTGGTTGGTAAACACAAGGAGCTTTTTTGGGTCGGCGTATGTTGAGAAATTCCTGACTCGCATGATCTTTCATACTCTGTAAGTAGCTGCTGGTCGTGCTAGAGAGAGACAGGTAGGAAGATTGTTCATTACTCCATGCATTTCGAAGGCTTGGCTGTACTTGCATTTGTGGCCCCGCACTGCAACACGTTTCGGACATTACATGAAAACACCCCTCATTGAAGCCGGCAATGGCTCGCACAGGTTGCCACTTGGAATGAGTGACAAGTCGTTACTCTCGGCGCCTGGCAAGAACCGCCAGAAGCACAGTCGTGAGCATGCAAAAGGCCGACACCTGCAAGATGCACTTTGAGACTTGGAGTTGCAGGAATGGCTATTGAACAGGGTTCCTGGATGGTGCATTTGTGGGAAATATGGGCTTTCCCTGTAACAAGATTCGTGTAGTGTGAGTGGTGCTGCGAGTGTACCTGGGAGGTTGGTCAAAGGAACAGCGCTGAGCGCCGTCTAGATGTTTGTGAATCCTCCCCTGAAGTTTTGGGCCCATTTGGCCCAAGAAGCCCATTAATCCGTTCCCCCTATCAATAAAGGTCTCCCTAATAATAAATATTTGTTTCGGAAGTCCCAAATCCGGGAATTCTACTTTTAGAATAGCCAATACTAAACCAATTCTAAAGTAGGTATTTTCCTGCCCGTACTCAAATCCAGCCCCATTAGGGGGATTTCGGGGGCACGTTTCCTTTACTACGGCTGTACTACAAAGTTGCGACTTTCAAGCCAGAGCTCCGGGAGCACGTTTCCTTTACATTTACTACGGTTGTACTACAAAGTTGCGACTTTCGAGCCAGAGCTCCGGGAGTATGTTTTCTTTGAGACCGGCAGGCTGTGCCAATTAACTAATTAGCTACAGAGGCTGGTGGTCAAGGTCAAAGGGTGCTTCAAACCAAAGTTGCAAACAAGCCTACACAGAACAAGAAGTACCTCCAAAACCTGCCCTCCAGAACCAGGGGACCCCTAATAATAAAAATTGTTTTGCAGGCCGGGTATTTTTTTATTAGGGGGGGGGCGTCGTTTATTATTAGGGGGAAGGGATTACAAAGGAACGCCCCAGAGGTGTCTTATTATCCCAAATTTGCAGAATGTTCTAGATTCATTCTGAACCCTTAGTCGATGGTTTGGTTGTTGGTATGAGGATGTGAACCCCTGTTTCGCACCCCATCAAGCAAAGGAAGCCTGCGCTAAGCCAAGAGGCAGGCGTTGAACGCCTGGGTTGTCGATAGGCCAAAAGCGGCACCTGTAGCGCCGCTTGTCGCGCCCGCGATTGCAGAGCCCGCGCCCGTGATTGCCGAGGCTCGGGTGTGCAAAGGGGCCGCCACGAATGCATGCTCCAGTTGAAATGATGATGATTAAATGTGCGCCCTGGAAATATGCGCCAGCAGAAGCGTGTTTACGGAAGGCTTAGCAAATCAAGTGTCTATCTGACACGCAAGCGACCTTGATGTGTATCATGTGAGACAGCATAATTAGAAGATGAAACTGTTGGCGAGGGACCCACGATGACGCTTCATTGCCATCTGCATGTTCCGCAGACAGGTAATAAGATTAAACTTCGAGTGAGCAACGTCCAAAACCTGTACTTGTTTATTGAGAGGTGCGTCATATCGACCTATGCTCAAGCAAAACCTCTATGTGGGTAAGGGAAGTGCTGGTGGAGCAAACAAATCCTCCACATGTATAGCAGAAGCCACAACTTGCGTTACGTAAGGTTTGCGTAAGTGGGGCGCAAGCAAGATGATACGACATAGAAAATCATGACACGTTTAGGACATGTCTCAAGCGAACAAAACGGAGCTGAAAGCACGCCGAGCTCGCAGATCAGACCAACATGTGAAGAATCTGTTTGTTTGGTTCTGCGGCTGTTTCGAAATGTTGGTGATGTCCCAAATGGCAGGTTTCCCTCGCATCGAAGCAACTCTGAGTTTGTCCATCCCTGCATGGCTTGGGTGGCACTGAAGCCGGAAGGGTACAAAGAGCAAAGCGCACGACTGGCGCTCATGCCATTTTTTAGCGACCATGGCTGCTTGAGAACTGCTCCTTGCCGGCGACGTGTTTCTTTGTTTGCTTTTGCGTGCAGACCTGAACATGCCGAATGTAGCTTGCACTTCGGTCTGTCTCCGCGTCGTGGGCCGGGAGACGGTCAGGCTCAAAGCATTTGTCCTGTCCAATATACAAGTGCAGATTCCCGCCCAATGTGATTCAGTACTTGTTTTGGGGGGATTTCTACCAACCAATTTTGAGTGAGACTCCAGTACTCATTCGGAGCGGCCAGCGCCACCTGCGTGTGAGTCTGCCAGGCGCCGGCGCCGACGGCACAGGGCGCCGAGGTGGGCGAAAGGGGACTGCATGGACAAAATCCCCACGTTGGATCCGTCTGAAGGATCATGTCGGGGGGCGTTCTCCTTTTTTTGGCTGGTGGTTCTTCTTTTAGTGGCGGTTTTGGGGACTTCCGTTGACTGATATGGTCCTCGAACCACCGCCTGAAAGCGTCTCTAGATATGGCTGCTGTCCGGTCTATGTTGTCCTGTCGAAAGGCCACGCTTCAAGCAAAAAGCAGAGCGCCGTGAACGGGCTGATACAACGCATATGTATATATATATATATATACATATACATATATATATATATATGTATGAGCTGCTGACAACGGCTGCAGGGCATCTTCATTCACACGCTGCGTTCCTAGATGCTCCTAGATTTCTTTCGGAAACCACTGACTGTCTTATTTTTGTTGGACAGAGAGAAGGAAGCACGCCACACATGCACAGCTGTGAGGAATGGGAGTGCGTTTGCGCCATAAGTACGGCAATCTTTGTTGGCACGACGTGGTTGACGCTCCAGTTCGAATTGGCTGGCAAGCTGGAAGGTTTGTAGTCCGCTCCCAGCCTCAGGTGTTGTCTCAAATGGGTTAAGATGCAACCAGGCTACTCGATCGATCTGCCTGGCCCATCCGGCGGTTCTGCGGTATGCATCAAGTGCATGTGTTTGCAAACAACTGCAACGTGTTCGGCTTTCTTGACTCCTTTGGTTTGTGATAGCTGTGGTGACGTGTGGTTTCCTGACTGAAGGGATCAATTTGTCAGTAGTTTTGAAAGAAGCAAGCTAAATTTGCAACTGGGTAGATGGAGTAAAGCCCATGCAAACTCACCCCGTCTCTCACATGTTCATCAGGACCTCTCGTCTGTTGTGTCGTTTAAATCAAGCCCCTTCTTTTGTCAGGTGTATTGTTTCAAAACCGTAAGAAAAAAACCTGCATCGTGGGCAGGCTTCCAAGCGTGCATCCTGGTTTTCCGCTCTTGGATACTGTCAAGAGAGGCCTCTTCAATTTGTTTCGCCAGGGGCTAATTGCTGCTATCCGCCGGGAGGCGCCAGCACGGAAAAAGGGAGGGAGGGGGGGGGGGACAGTTGGAGGCCAGCGGCGGTTCCAGGTATCCGTAGCCCGTGAGTTCATTGCCAGCAAAACTCAGCATAGGACGCAAAACACAAGTCCTTCCGAACTGCAAGCGAAAAGGAGCTTTTGCTCTCTGCCATATGTTGATTCCGCCCACAGACATGCGCCAGGACCAGAGAGCGCCTTGCCCTTGCTTGGTCTTCAGCTGTTTCCCCAGCTTGCCCCCCTTTTGACCTACCATCTTAGCCGCCATTTGTTTCTCAGAACACTGGTTGAGGTCCCTTGTCAAGCCCATGTTATTCATGTTCACCCTTCATGCGGACCTCCGTCAATCCCATCTTGTTTCGCTCAGACTGGACGAGCCACCATCGAACCAACCATTTGACGCCAACGGGGGTAGCGATTCTGAGCCTCAAGATGAAAGCAGTTGGTCGGAAGTGGTCAACCGCTTTCTTTGGTATCCTTCCCTCAGGCTGACATGGAGAATCACCTTTCTCAGCCTAAGAGGAAGGTCTTGCCAAATCCCGGGAGCCTATCATGGAATCGCCTCAAAAGAAAGGGGTAGGCGCCCATCAGGAGTTCGGCTTCGAGGGGGAGAAGCTGACGGGCGGGGAGCTGCAGGCGGAGCTGATGGTTTGTTTAATGTCAAGAAGCCCGTGGTTGGAATTGTGCAAAAGGAAAGTAACAGGAGAGTCCGATCCGGGCCCCTCCAAATCACGACTTGTGATGTGTATGGAGTTCGGTTGCGCAATCAGTTTTCGGCTGTTCGGTTGCGCGATCCCTTTGCGTCGGGAGGGTGTGGCCAAGGTCCAAGGGTGTTTCCAGAGAATAAGCCGTGGGGTAAGCTTTCTGGAAGATCATGCCCGTTGTTTGGGGACTCCTTGCTTCCATATAAGGAAGGGTGCCCTCAAAACAACGCGCGCACGCGCACACACACACACACACACACACCTTTTGCAGGACCTCTATTCCTCCTTTGTTCCAAGGGAACCCGTCAGGAAAATGGCTGGTTACGACATTAGCTAGGAAACGGTTGCACAATCTCCTCTCGGGCTGGATGGTCCTCTTTAACTTCCTTGCCTTTTTCCCACGAAAGACGGAAAATATCCTTTAGCTCTTAAAGGGTTCGGAAGAAAACCGGGAAAGGTCCCGCCAAATGGCGCGTGGTTTTTTCAGGTCCCCTTCTGGGGTGGGAAACCACAGGAAGCCAAAAGAAGGGAAGCAAAAACCGCCAGGTGAAGCAAAACGCGCGGCTCGCGCGGGCGTTGAAGCGGCTCGCCGGGGAGCTGCTGGGAGGCCCAGATTTGTTGATCTTGTCGGCGGTTCGGCGGCACCCATTGGGGGATGCCTGGATATTCAACCCACTTAGTAGGTTACAACTTATAGCCATGGCCGCAAACTAAACCACCCCCTTGCTACCCTAATTTTTGCCCCATGGTAAGCTAGACGGGTTCCAGGTGCGGAACGGGGCGGGCAGAAGGCCCGAGCCTTGACTAAAAGGGCCATTCTTCTACCAGTCGCAAGTAGATCTGTTATAAGACCGTGGGTTGATACACGCCTGGTTCGTTCTATATAGTCCTTAGTAGAAACACGCCTGGGGCTCAATGAAAGTTACAATAGACCGTTGCTTAACATGGAACCCAAAGGTCCCGGTTTGGAGGGCATCCGTCACTTCTGCACCCCCGGTTCATCCATATCCGGGATCTGGTTATTGCCTGGTCGCCTTGCTTGTTCTAAAACAAACCCCTTATTGTGGTGATATCACCCGATTTTGAACAACGCAGCTTAGTAGGATTGATATAACCATGGCTGTGGTAGGCACCAACACCTGGTAGCCCACTTAAAAGCATACTACACATGTGGTTGTAGTCTATTTACCAAGTTGGTCGAGCATCTAACAGCCAAGGAGGGAGGAGCATTGCAGAAAATCAGCGCATGTGTGGAGGAAACTCCTTCTGGGATCAGGCCAAAGGCAGCTTCCAGATCGATTTCCACACGCTATCAGTCGGCAGCACTTGAGGAGTGGCCCACATCTCGGTTGCTCAACGCTGACCTTTTCACAAGTTGTTTTCCCTTTGGGTCTACATGGCCCAGGTTGTTTCCCACGCCTTCCGCAACCATTACATCTATTTGGGTAATCGTAATAGGGGACCCTTTGGTAGACATTAACATTGAGGTGGGGATTCTGGCAACCACCAACCACTTTGAAGGTGGCTCCCTATTAAGTTGTCCATGGCCTTTGGCAATTTGACGATCAGGTCCATTCTGTTTGGTGTGTTGGCGCTTGGCTCGCGGACTGAAGTACCAGCTCCATGGGGAAGGTGCTGCGAGCCGACTATCACTGCTCCCCGGAACGGCCTGAAGCACCGTGAATGGTACCAAAAGTTCCAGCAAGTGCTTGACAGCTGGCATGCGGGCGCCGCGGCCTGTCCATGCTTGATGAAACAGGTCCCGCTCGAGCACAAGGAGCATCAAGGTATCCTCAGTTCGTAGTTCGGTGATCCCCTGCGTGTCTCACCCGACCTCTTGAGGCTAGGTGACTTGCTGCAATGAGTTGGTTTGCTCGCAGGGTGGGATAAGCCCATGTGCTTGCTGATGTGCCGAGTTGTTTTAGGAAGCTTAACACCTGAGTCTATAGGCTATAAAGTGTTCCTGATCAATTGGCAACGGTTAACTTGTTAACAGCCGATTTTTGTCGTCTCAAAATAGCCCCCCCAATGAAGGTTTTGTTCCTTTTGGGTTCCCTTTAAAGCCATCCGGCGCCATCCGGAATTCACCTGCTACTGGTTCTTCCTGTCATCGACATCGCACATCAGCAGACGGTGTTGAACGGTTGCGTGTTGCTTTCTGATGATGTCCCTTGTATCCAGAAGCAACATGATGAGAACATGTACCTGACATATTGTATCGTGTATTTGCTTGGTGGCTCAGAAACTGAGGCAGAACCAACAGCCAGTCTCAGTCTGCAAGTTTAAAGGAATCCTTGACTCTTCCCTGGATAACTGGCCCTTTGTAGTTTGGCACATGTTGGGAAGTGGAATTGTCCAACCCTCGCAGGCCGTGAGTGCGGTTCGCCTAGGTACGGCAGCGACGTGCATTGGCAGCTCGAGTTGCTGCAGCTCTTTGGATGCGGTCAGTCGGTATGTGAGCCGCTGAACTCAAAACCACAGACCCTTGGGGCCCTTGGGGCCAGTTCTTTAAACAAAAAAAAGACAAGAGGAGACCAGCCGTCTAAGATTGGTCAAAGTTGGGATCCCCAAAAGTGGCTGGGGTCCTTTCAGTTTCCGTTGTAGCAACCAGTCTGCCATTTGGAGACCCCTACTTGAATCGAAGCAGTTCCTAGACTTAGAATGCAATGCACAAGACAGGTGATGGTGGAGTTGACATTGCAAGGTGCCGAAGAGTGCACACAATAGACGCTGTCGGCAACCGAAGAGTTTGGAGCGAAGAACTGGGAGAGCCTTGAGAATCTGCACAGGAGGGTTAAATACGCCCTGCACTTTGGGCTGTACCCATAGCCCATTGCACTGGTGTGTTGCCAGTCACGGAACATCGCCTTGGCTCCTGGCTTTTGCGCAGCCAAAGTACCGCGAGCCTGCGGGGAAGATCAGGTCTGGTCCATCCGATCTTCGAGTTGTGGACCATGGTGACCTCTGAACTTGAGAAGTTTATCCATGGAAATTTTGACCCCTTTCCATAAAAAACCTGGCAAAGAGGACTGGTTCCAGCTGATTCGACGAATTTCCGTGCAAGAAGTGGCAACGCAGCACGCAGGGGTAAGACTTGAACATTGCAGCTACAAAGATCACTTGGACAAAGTCAAACACAGCACGCATGGAATTTACCGTGCTTGTTGCAAATCGCTCATTAAAGTTATCATCTGCAGCTCGCTTTGGCTGTTTCTCTTCATCATTCTGGAGAAGGCTGCTTATCTGCCGGATATCAACATGGTGCGTGTGAAATTAGGAGCGCCCAACAGCTCCAAAATTGGCCGCCTTTCTGGCCATCTTGGTAGAAGCCAAAGTGAATGGGTGTTGGGCGCTTCTCAGTTGATATTAAGCAAAGCAAGCTCTTTGTGGAAAGCAGTGTTTGCTTTCGCGGGAGAAAGCCGGTGTGTCTGCAAAGAAGGCAAAGGTAGTTCGTGCTCAGGAATGCCGACGACAACACGTACAAGGACGGGGCAGACCAGCGCAATAAGTCAGGACTTGGATGATCAACCGAAGTAGTAGGTTAAATGGTTCTAAGTTATAAGTACTGTACTTTTTTTTTAGGTTGAACAACCAGGCAGGAGTTTCAAGCGACAGCAGCAGCTACCGCTGGTTGCACATTCTGGCAATCAGATGTGCGCCCTTGTGCTCCCGATCTCTCACCATTTTGGTCAAATGTTCCAAACGGTTGGTGGTCTTTGTTTGTCTCCTGTGAGAGCCATCCAAACGAGCTGCCAGGATGGGGTTGTCCCAACCGCCCAGTTCCTCCTGCGGCATGCAGAAGGAGGAGAGGCGGGCAGCTTTGGAAATGCCTGGCAGCTGGAGACCTCTTGGAGTGATTTGAATGATGCAAAACGAGACAACTGCAAGGCCAGCCAATGACATGCAGAGATGCGAGACTGATTTGTCTCGGCATAGCAGGCCACAACAATTCTGTTGGAAAACTAGGTTCTGAACAGACTGGAAGAGAATGCTTTGAACCAATCTGTATTTGTGGATCCAAAAGCCGGATTCTTTGTATGAAAATGGCTTAAAAGGGTAAGGGAATCCAACGCTTCTGACCAAAGCCTACTGTGGATGGACGAAATCCTGCACCACTTGGAAACCACGGGCAACCATTGTTTGTCGGGATTTACAGGGGAATCATCATTCCGGGGTTTCTTAGGTGGTGCAGGAAATTTTGTCCATCCACATGACTTGTTCCGCATCGCGCGCCCGGCAGGTGGTCTTCCGGTGCAATGAGACGGGCTTTCGCGAGGAGTCCGCGAGTTCGCGGGCGCAAAAGGCAACCCAAAGCCTGGAAAGTTGTTTCCCCATTCATTTCTTTCGGAGATTCCTTATGGATTGGTGGGCTTCCCCTCCAAAATGACAAGCCTCGAAGAGGGCTCCTTGTTCTTCCGACACTAGTGCAACTGGGCTTTGACATCGGGTCCCGACCCCCAGACTCGCGGTTGTTCCTTTGCAAGTTTGGCGCCTCAAATTGGGACCCAAACAATGCCCGAAATCATTGGCACATGAAGTCGCCGGTTCCGGTTTGGCCTGGCTTGGCGACTGACTCGAATCGGGCTTCATGAAGGTTCCTGTCAGGTTGCGGGGGATGGCCATGCACACGCCACAGCCGGACAAGATGGTTCATGAGATTATTCCATTTGGTTAAGAATATTTGTTATTTTCCCCTGTTGATTTTAAAGAGAATCTATCACTACTGGACTTTTTTCCCCCACTAAACTTAAGCAAATGGAGGGAATGTTTCAAAACTTTTTCCATACCCCCTATTGGACACCTAGAGAGATTTGCGCATGGTCCGCGAGGAAGATGTGTTGTTCCAAGCATGTGCTTGGTATGGAAGTCACACCACTGGTATAGGCGGACATCCGCGCGATCTGCGACATTGGCAACTCTTCTAAGGCGCTGGGTCTTGTGTGTGGTGTCACCTGAGGTGACGCAAGTACGGGCAAAACGACTTTGGCAATGATTTTTCATACGAAGCTCCTTGGAAAGTGGTTGGTGACAAGTCCCCACCATGATGTCCATCAAAGGGTCCCGAAACCAAATTCAAACTTGGTCATACGTGCACAGGAGTTGCCGTTCCCTGGCAAGCAGTGGGTTGTCATTCACCGAGGTTTGCGTGAGTACGTGGCCGCGAAGGGATATTCACCTGTGCTTTGTTTAGCTCGGCCAGTGCATGGGCTGCAACTCTCAAATGTCGGTTGGATAGATGAAAGAGTGTTTGCCTCTTAGCAACTCATCAACCTGTGCACTCATGTTCGAGTTGGATCGTTTCAATCATGTGGCTGGAGTATACAGCTCTAGGAAATCTTGACACAGGGCTTGCACAAACTGACCGTGCTGGTTTGGTTGTTTGGTTGTGTGACCTTTGGGGTCTCTAACCTTTTATCAGGCGTTCATGACAACCAAATAGTAAATCGAGGTGATTCGAGCAGATCAGGTGGGCGCTGCCAAGTATGGGCCCGGTGGCAGCCTGCAGCTGAGTGCCCGATCCAGAGGTTTTGGCGAGAAACCCAGGGCTGGATGTTGGAAAGGGCACCCTTAAGGATACATCTGCGATCATGTGCGCCATGCAAGGATTTAGAGGATCCAGCTTGGAAATAGGACCGCGGGTGCGTGTTTTAGTGAGTTCTTGTAGGCTTGCGCTGGCATCGATTTAAGGAGCAAAGAACCATGGATCAATGTGGGATCAGGGGAGCGACTAGACGAGAGATGAGCTTGCAAACATTCTGAGTCAGTTGGAAAGTCCTATGGAGAAACATTGTAGGCAAAAGCCATCCTGCAGGCCTGACGCATGCTCACCCAGGCCAATCCACTCAAGAAATAAGTTTGTCTTTCTTTACGGCAAGGCCCTTCAATAGTTTCTCAAGGTGATACGCCTCACAACCTCCAGTGATCCCGTTAAAACTGGTGGGTCACAGAAGAGTTGCATCTCTACAGAATCTTCCAACAGGGCTACGTACAGCTTGAAGTTCCTTGTTGGTTCGCATACTGCAGACAGATTGTGTGTTTGTGACAATGTGTAAATGCGAACGCATGTTCTGCATTATATATATATATATGCCCATATGTGTAGGTGTGCGTATACCCTGCTACTGCACTGCTTGCAGCAAGGAAGTTCGGAAGGGTCATGTAGGACCGGCTTGCAGAATGAGTTGATGCTAGACCGGCTCCAGGCAGCAAGCCCAACCCAGCATTCCCATCCACATGTTGAGACTTAAAAAAACACATTGAGCCGTGGTTCACCGCGTGTTTCCCCCCCCCCCCCGCTCTTTTTCTCGTGTGACCACCGGACGAACGTAGCTCTGCTGCCGGAAACGCGCAGCGTTTTGGCCGGGCTTAGGAGTGGTGGCCACCGGTGAGAAGGGTCTCGGCTTCAAGGCCGGGCTTTGTGACTTGGCTGTGCTGGTCAAAACCGTTAAACGGGATATCCCATGTTGGTTGGTGGGTGAATTCGCCACCCATTTTTTGGAACCTATTTTAGTGGTTGGATTGGGATGTTTGTTGGGGTACGATTTGGGTTTTGACCCATGGCCACTTTTGTGGAGTGATTCTTGGAGCGGTGTTAAAGGTTTCTGAACCTCAACCCAGCCATCCCTGTGAATCAGTCCAGCAGCCAAACCGGTTGGTTCAAGGCGAGACCAAAAGAACCACCACCATTTCAGGGGTCCAAATCCATATTTTGGCATATGTGTGTGTGTGTGTGTTTTTTCGAGGGTACCCCTTTGAAGTGGTTTAAGGGGAACGTCATAGGAACACCTTCCTATTTGGAGACACCCCCACAAGGCAATTTCGCGCACTGCCATTTTGAGTGTGTGTTTTTGCGAGGGTTCTGTGTTTGTGGTTGCTTTTCAGGGAAACCCAAAGGAAACCATTTGGTTTCCCACGCCGAGCCCCAAATCTCCTCGAATTGCCAGGCGGTGTTCGCCCTCACTGACCGCCCGCGGCTCTTCTCCGGGCCCTTCCGCCTGGAGTTTGCGCGGAAGCCCGTGCGGAGAACTGGGCCATGGAAGTGAAGCATCTCCCCTCCCGTCCAACATGGAACTTGACCGAGGGTCCGGGAAGGCTACCTTTCATATTTAGACCCACTGCCCACTTTCCAACTGGCATGGAAGTGGATGATCGGAGGGAGAAGTTTGAAAGACAAAGACTGTCCATTTGGGGAAGCCCTTTGTCCATTTCCATGATTGTTGGAAAGAGGGAAGTGGCGAACTGGATTTGGGAGTTGGAACCTCAAAAGTGGCAGCTGGACATGAATCATGTGAACGATATCTTTGGCAGAGTTCGGGACCCATTCAGTTTCGTACCCAACTTGGAAAAAAGTAAGTCTTAGAGCGTATTGAAGGTGAGCCTGAAGAGCTGAGTCTGGGTTGTGAGTCTCAAAGATGTACAAGAAGCATGTTGACTTGAGATCATGTGCTGAGATGATGCTGGTCATAAGATTGCTCTGCTTGCATGATGAAGCCAATAGCGTGACGCTGTCCAGAATTGGTTATTACTTTGCTTCATGAGGAGCCGGAGTGTTTCTCCCCTTGCACATTCAATGTGCATGGGGAGCTCATTTGCTCGTCCAAGCGAACGGAGTGCGGAAAGCGACCGGCAGCATAGCTCCCTTCTCGTTATGTCTTGCGCTCGGTATCACGTGCCTCTTTTGACTCAAAAGCGCAACGAATGGTTATCATACGTGCGCGGTTCTTGGCAGTTCCCGAACATACTCTAAGACTTTCCGAGTTGCGAGCGGCTGTTTGACATAGTCCACAACCTCCGACCTCCCGATGTTTTTCCACGCCAGATCGCCTCTAAGGACGCAATGCATCCCAGCGGCATCGGATACGCGCCTCGCTTATGGCGCACGCATATGACTCTGACAGTTTGAACTGCACATGTATCAGTCCTCGCACTAGATGTATCAGCTACCCAAAGCGCATCGATTTGTTGACCCAGTACATCAGGTTTTCCTAGGTTGAGTGGTCAAAGCCTGATCGGCATATTCAAAGATTCTTCACCACTCAAAAAGCAGCCAGTGGTCTTCACAGAAGTTAGGCGACCAAACGTTTCATGTTGGTTTCCTCAGTGTGTTTTCCTTGGACGGCTAGCCAGTGGTGCGGCTACAGGCATAGCCCGTTGTGAAGACAGTCTATAGATTGCTCCACACCAAATTGTATTTTTAGGATAAGCAGGGCGATTTCTCTGGGTGAGCCCTTGCATTTTCAGGTATTAAATCAAGTGCTTTGGATCAAGCACAGTTTCATGTCTAGAGTGCATGCTGGCATGTTCAACATCTTTTGTATGGCGGGATGCTGTTAAGAAAGGCTGTTGCTGATGGCTTGGATCATTGTCATGGCACCTGGCAGAAGCCCGGACTGTGTTTCTCCCATCTTGGGAGGTGAAGGCTGCAAGGAGCAGGCAAAACCTGCGCATCAGCCACAGCAATGTGGTTTTGTCTCAAACTGAGGGGAATGCCAAAGGCCAGGTTTTCTTTTGGGCGTCGCTTCCAAACCGACCAAGGTGTGTACACGGTTCCGGGTTTCCCGAACTTTAGAGCCTCCGGCTCAGTCCGCCGACAGTGTCCTCTCCCTTTTCTCCTTCTTCCTCTCTCTCTTGTCTCCTCCCCCGTGTGTTCTGTCGTCCTCTCTCCCTCACTCTTCTCCCCATCCTCCCCATCCCCCAAAGCCTCTCTCTCCTCAATCTCCCTCTCTCTGTCTCTCTCCATCTCTCTCTCTCTCTCTCTCTCTCTCTGTCTCTCTCGCTCTCTCGCTCTCTCTCTCTCTCTCTCTGTTTCTCTGTCTCTTTCTGTCTCCCTGTCTCCTGCCTGTCCACGCCCCTCTACAGAGAAAAGGGTACCCTTATTCTAACCTCTCTACTGGAGGACCTAGTATCTCTCGCTCTCTCTCTCTCTCTCTCTCTCTCTCTCTCTCTTTCTCGCTCTTTCTCTCTGTCTCTCTCTCTCTCTCTCTCTCTGTCTTTCTGTGTCTCTCTCTCTCTCTCTCTCCCTCTCTGCATTGCAGCGTCACGTCCCCCCTGAGTTGCCTCGATGTCCGGGTGCCCCTTCATGACCATGAACTGTCCGCTTACTACTGGCTTTCCCCTTGATTTCCCCTTCATGTCCTTTTCACGTTTCCCATGATGTCCTGGTCATGTCCCTTCCATTCCTTTCAACTCCCCCTTCATGTCCCTGTTATTTTCTCGGTATGTCCGCTTCATACTCCATGTATGTCCCGTTCTTTGGTTGCGAGTCATTTCCCTACATCTCCCGTCGTGCCGATTGGTTTCCTTGTCCTTTGTTTCCCTGTCATTCCCCCTGCACTCCCCTTGTTTTGATTTCTGTCCCTTTCATTTCCCTTTCAGTTCCCCTTTGTTCCCTTTCACTTCCCCTTGCTTTCCTGTCATGTCGACTTCCTATTTCCCCCCCTCATTTCCTTGCACTTCCTTGCATTTCCCCTTTGCTCCCCAGGTTTTTTTTCAAAAAAACACGGTTTGTTCCCAGCGTTTTCGCAAAGAGGACGTAAAAAAGCACAGAGTTTTTCTCGAAATAGTTTCGAATGGTTCTGGTTTTGGGGCGCCTGCTTCAAGGTGCTCCCCAGCTGGCTGCCGAAGGCTGAGGAGGACTTGCTAAGGCCATCCGGCAAGTTTGAGGCTCCAAGCTCACCGTAAAACGAGCTCACCGTGGAGGCTCTCTTTACCTGTGAATCTTTTTTTGGTTTTCGAATTGCAACATACAAAAATTAATGCAGATCATGACTTGTGGTCTTTATTTGTCCTTTTTCGGGGGACTTCGGCAAATGGAGGGGACAAAAAGAGGGCGTTTTGCACCTCCCGCCGGGAATCCGAGACTCGCCTTAACGCCAGGCCCCAATGGGGCTCCGCGCTGCGGTTGCCCCTCCGCGCTGAGCTGCGTAGCAAGCGGGAGGAGAAGCGGGTCAAAGCGCACGTGCGAGCGCGGGCGGTGAGTGGCAGGTGGTTGGACGGCTTCATTTGGTTGTTTGTCGTTTGAGGAATGATTTTGATGTGGCCTCAATGTGTTGTTGGTTGTTGTTGTTTGTGTGTGGCTCTTGGTTGCATTTTTGGTAAACTGTGCGATGAACGATTCTGAGATATACACATAGTATATGTCTTGGTCATAGTACTTTTGGATTGTGTTTTCAATTTTGTGTGGTTCTAAATGTAAGGCCTTGAAGTGTAATTAAAGATGCAGAAAGAGTAAGACTCAATACTTCCACACGAATGTCTCCTCCAAGAATAGAAGCATTATCCAAGAACGGCAATACGTTTCCTTTTGGTTTCCCTTTAACCCAGCCCGGGCCCCAGCCCTTTTGACAAAAGATTGTGGGATTGGGGGCGTATTCCAACGTCACACCCCTAATGCAAACGACTCCAAAAGCAAATATCTATCATAAGTCATAAGGTGACCCTATATTATAGCTGGTCTTGTGGCCAAATCACACCCAAAAACGGCCTTGGTTGTCCTTTTGGTGTCCCCTGCAACACTATGCAGCAAGGGTGGGGGGGTCCGAAGAAGAGACACTCTTTTGGGATGTAGATTGTAACCATCGTTACGACTGAACCGAGCCCTTTCACCCTACTTCACCAAGTGCGCCGGATCAGCAGGTGGGATCAACTAGATTTTTTCTCCATCACTTGGGCTTGTCTCAAAATTTGGGGGAACCCCAAAATGGGTGGGTGTGTCTTACAATCCGGGACCCCTCCCCCGGTTGCACTGTGGTTTGAAACCACCCGCGTTAGGAGCTCTTCCGGCGCCTCGCGCAGCTCCCGCCCTCGCTGCTGCTCTTCCTGAAGCGTCTGCGCGAGGCGAACGACCGAACCGCTGATTCGTCGGTGAAGGTGAAGGTGTTGGTGGCTTCAGTCCGGTTTTGTGGCGTCGGCTCTTTGCTTTCTGGTGTTGGTTTTGTCCCGAAATCATTGTGAAGGAAATATTCAGGCAAGATGTTTGGAGCCGATTGCGCGAGGCAAGCGGCACAGGCGAGTTGCCCAGGAAAGTTGTGCCGGCAAGTGACACAAACAAGTTATATGAGAGATTGCTTGAGCAAGTTACACGAGAGGTTTTCGGTTGTGTTTGGCTAGAGAAGTAGTGACCCTCTGCGTAGATAGGCGAGGCCGAGGTTCGCGTTGATCAGCGTAGTTGAGGAAAAACCTTGAGCTTTTGATGCGCGACCCTGTGTGGATCGGCGTAGTTGAGGTTTGAAAACTCGAGGTGTTTGATACTTTTACTATCCCCGCGCAACCCTCTGCGGGGCCTGGCCTAGTCGTGCAAAAGCCGAAGGCTGTTACTACTGTTTATCGGCGTGGTCGAGGTTCAAAAGCTGAGGACTGCAATTGTATTTGTCTTTGTCCTCGCGACCCTTTGCGGAGATTGACGGGCCAAAAATAGAAGCATGACAGGAAAATGATACTTGTTGAGATCGGCGCGATCAACGCTAAAACGATTGAGGGCAGTCGGGGGAGTATCTTGAAAGTGTGTTTCGTGGTTTGCGCGACTGCTTTTTGAATTCCGAGGCCTCGTGATGCTTTGGGGGATCGGCCTGGAGTTTTCACATTGGGGACCTCAAACGATGCTGAGGTTCCTGTCGGTTTCCATTTGAAAGGCAAAAGGGGTCCCTCATTGCTGAAAGATGTCGTATCAGACTTGAAAACTGCGATTGACCTACTTCGGGACTGGCTTTGACCGCAGCACAGTCGGCCAGTTTCTCTCAAGATATCTCGTGAAGGGGGGGTTGGTTGGCGACCTTGTGAAGCTTCCATTTTTGGAGGTCGAAGTAAAGTTCTCCGTGCCTTGTTCGTGAGCACGGCTCCCCGCTGCATTTCTTTGAATGCGGCTGCACACCGTCTATGGCATCCTGTTGCTCCATTGATCGGCTTGGCCAACTGGCACACGGCCGTCAGTGAAACCTGGAAAGGTGGCTATATTCATGCCAGCAGTCCTGGGTACGAGGGTTCGAGGGTTGGCGAGGGTACGAGCCCCACCCCCGCAGAGGAGTATACAGCTTCTTTTTTTTGCTGGAATGGTAAACTGAGGGGCAAAAGATAACATGTACTCCCAAAAAGCCACAGGGTCTTTTTGCAGGAATGCGCTGGGCAAAATTGTGGCGACCTTGGTGCTTTGCGACTATGAACGTGTTCATAGAACTCCAGTTGGCTCGAGTGCAACTTCACAGATTCGGGGCTCCGGCTCCCTGTCGTGGGTTTGTCTCGACAATTGGGGGAACCCCAAAATGGTTGGTTTTCTTTTGGTTTCCCTTTAAACCCTCCCAAACTCAAAAAGGCCACACCGATGTGAGTTCAACGTTGGATGTGAGTGTGTCTGTGTGTGACTTGTCTCAGCCGGTCAGGTCTCAGTTCATAGCGAAGCAGAAGGCTGGGAAGCAGAGAGCGCCGAACCCCCCTCGAATGCGGTTCAGTGTCCTAAATTTTGAACATGTTGATGCCATGTGAGGTTTTTGTGCTTCGAAAAGAGCTGGGCTTTTCCCAAAGAGCTGCTCGCGCTCCCTCGGCGAGGTAGATGCCGCCGGCTTTTAGCCTGGATATTGGGGGGACATGTTTGAGAGGTTCGAATAAGTGGGTTCCAATCGCTTGCTTTAAAGGACAGCCCTGTGTGTGTGTGTGGAGCATCCGAAAGGAGTGCATTTAAAACCCATTCAACGGATCACCCAAGATATGACCGTGCCTTCTTGAAAGCCATATCACAGCGGCCCAGGGTGTGCGACCATACGCCAAAGGTTCCTGTCTCCTCCCCAAAGGTTCAGCCGGATGGGCATGTTCTGCCGCGACCCTTTAGGTTTCTAGTCTGAAGCCATCTCAAGCCTGGTTTGTGCCTCGCGCAGGGGCTGCTGAAATCTCAGTCTTGGAGGATGTAAGGTCGCGCCAAGTTGTGGGAAAGCTCGCAAAGCTTCTCCTACCATGTCCATTGTTGCAAAGGGGACACACCAAAACACCATTAGGAAATAGATGTTACTCGCCAAAGTCCAACGTATTTCGGGAGAATAAGTGTTGACTATGGCTGATGTGCAGAACCTAAAGTGTTCAGCCACTAGCCCGGAACCTGGCACAGCCAGGAAAACAGCTGCTTATCATGTTCAAGGACCTTTCAGAGGAAGCACCAGTTCACGAACGAAATATCGCGGTGTGAAAGATTTGAATCTGCGTTTCCTGTTTCTTCGTTTCTTCTTTTCAAATCCAGCGCCTTCCTTGCCCCGAATCCGTGGCTGGCCGGGGCGGCCAGGATCGTCCGCTCTTCACGTGCGCGCCGAGGAGCGAGAGGTCACTGTTCTGGGGTGCCACCTGGGCTGCTTGCGCAGTGCATGGCATAGCTGTGCAGAAAGCAACTCATGTTCCGTCAAGTTTGCATTGTATTTGCCCGCATTGTATGGCTGATGCCAGCCATTTGTGCAACGCTCTTACACTATATTACCCAGCAACAGCAACCGGATTTCTTTTTGGCGGGATAGTTTCAAACGAGCAATATTCTACTCCGGACACCAAACCATGTTTGCGAGGTCCCCTATGTTTCTTTATTTTTTAAAGCGCGGAATAACACAAGCTTACCCATGATGAAGGCCCCTGACCCGAGGATTCCTCAATTCAGGTTTGGATGGTGCCACCAACCTTTTTCTGCCAGGAGATAAACCCACTTGGTGAAGAACACAAATGAGCACCTGGCAATATCTTCAGCGTATGGTTTTGGGTGGGCCAGGTCCTATCCTTTTCAGGTTGGTCATCGCTTGTGATGCATCCCCTGTCGGTTTCTGCTAATAGTTGTCGGTTACGATTGAGGTGTGGGCGAAAAAAACAGCAGCTTGTGTTTCATTTGGGAGGCACGTGGGTAATTGAGCTCTAAATGTCAGCCACAAAAACCTGCGGTTGAGACCACCCAACTTTCCACTGTGCTTTTGGGTGCCACCGTTGCAAGTTTGTCCGAACATGCCGCGGGTGTAGCTTGGACCAGGGATTTGGACCCCGCCCCCAGGCTTCGGCTTTCCTATGTTCCCAAACCAAGCTGACGGTGGGCTTCAAAAAATGAAATCAGAATATATCCCCCTCCCCATACGATCGCCCCACTTTAAGCCCACTCCCAACCCCTGAACTTTACTCAAAAAAGAAGACCCAAATTTGAGCCCGAAGACCTATAGAACTCAGGACGTCCCGGCGGAGCGCTGGAAGGAATTCACCGGCCCAGTAGCGCTCAAGGCCCCAGAAAGGGGGGGGGGCGAGCGAGCGAAGGGGAAGGCCCAATGCGGGTGCGGGTGGTTCGGCTTTTGTTCTCCCATCTAGCACTGAACCAGAGATTTCCGGCGAGCTGCGATTTTTGGGAAGGTTTCCTTGGAATGGATGTATCCTTTCCTACCTTTCTTTGGGGGCACTGGGTTCTGAGATACTCCCAAATGTACAACAATGACAAACTATTGCCAATTGCAGGTGTTCCCATATCACCCTTTCGGACCGATTTCTTTGCTGGATTGGAATCAACCATATCCTGGGACTTGTCAGTTGGATGACTGAATGATTCAACCAATAGCACTCAGCCAAATCAATGCTATGAGCAAGCCATATCTGGTTTACTGTGGTGGTTTCCCAAACCGTTTGCAAGTAGTTGGCATGTGGACAATCTTGGGCTGGGTTGGGGCGTTGTTCCAAGAAGGGGGGGTAACCATTTCTGGTATGTTGCCATAGTTGAAATTATGTGTTGCTTTCAATATTCAGGGCATCAACCATACCTTTCTGTGGATCGGAGGGTTTAGTGGAACAGGTCATCTATTCAGGACATCCAACATATTTTCACAGCAAGCCAAAGTTGCTAATATATGTTTAGCAGAGTGCAACCTTTACTTTCTCAATGTAATTATGACAAAGCGGAACATTTGTCGTATCTGTTGACCAAGTGCGGCAGATGACCAAATTCGGTCTGCATAATTTACAACCAACGTACGTTTGTGAGTGTGTGTAGCCGCGATTCCCACCCCCCTCTTGGCTCCATGTCCTTCATTTGTGAAGTTGCTGGCCATGCCTCGCAGGTGTCACAGGACGGAGGCGCCCGTTTGGAGATTGCTTCGCCGTGATTCGCGGAATGAAGAGCCGGGCGTCCTTTGGGTGTGTCTTTTTCGAAGGGAACCAGAATGGTGGTTTGCTTTTGGTTTCCCTTTGAAGACACTCGCAAAGAGGTACCCTCAGAAATAGACAAACCCATTTGACTGCTTGTGGGTTATCAAAGTCAGCAACTGGGTTTCCTTTTTATCTATCAAAGAGGTGACTTTGATCATGATAAAACAATGAAGTCAGGATTGCCAAATGCAAGTGAGCCTATGATTCCTTGTGGGGTACCAGGGAGAACAGTCATCTCGGAGAATTCAGCTTCATCCTGTCAGCATGAGCATTTTTTCGTGGAATGCTGGCAATTTGAGAAGGGGCGGTTGCGCTCGATTTGCTGGCCTGGGCGCAAAGCCAATGATCAAGGATGATCTTCTTTCACAGCACGGGTTGCGTTGAAGTTCCAATCATGGAAGTGGACCTTCGTCAGCTTCAGGGATTGGTCTTGGGAAGGTATCCAAGTCCGAAACTGGGGTCGTTTCTCTTGAACCTACCAAGGGGTGACTTTGGAGGTAAAAAAGGTGGTACCAATTTAACTAAGCGACAATCAAAACACGGGGGTCGGCAAGCAAAAGCTTGTACGGGTCGGATCCGTCCCAGGAAAGCAGCATCTAAAGACCTTCCACATCTTTTGAGCATAGCAGAGACGACCGTCCGTGAAGGGAATTTTTGTTGGAGAGTTGAAAGGGGTTGAAGTGTGCTCCAAAAGTATGCTGGAGGCTTTTTCGATTTAATGGGAATCAAAATGCTTGAGAAACCACCCGTAGTGATGCATACAGAGGGGTCCCCATTTAGACGGCGGATCATTGCTGGGAGAAGCACCCCGGAAGATTCCGCCAGGATGCTTGACCGGGTCAACACCACCAAATATATTACCTGAATATTTCTGGGGGGGGTCTTCTCCAAAAACATGTCATATTTTCTGGCAAACTACAAACGAAACAGAGTCAGTTGGCCAAGACTTGAGCTGTGCGCCCTTAGTTGCTGATGCAGCTTTCGCACTCAGCATGTGAACGCTTTGACCATCGAACCCCCATCATGCCGGCGGGCTACTTTAACTGCACAACGGCACCCTGAAAGCCAACGGCTCATGACCTCATGGCAAGCCCACTTGAGTGCACACAAAGTGACACAGCCTAAGAGGCTTACACGACCACAAGAAGGATGTGTGAAGTAAGAACATCCACATGTATCTGATGAGTGTGAGTAGAGTCTCATTGTTCTCACTGGGGCTTGCCCTTTCATTTCGCGGAAATTCGAGGCTCAGATTGCTTATGTGCTTGCGCGTGTGTAGAGTTGGGGTTACAGCTGGAGGGTGGCGAGGAGCCTATCACCATGAACCGAAACTTGGCAGGCAGCTGGGAAGAGCGTTGGTTGCTGCTGCGACGATTAGTGCCGGCCGAGCCCTGAGTGCGCAAGGCCAGAAGTACTATTAGCAGTGGGGCTTTCTGTCTGGTTTTGCCTGGTAACCCTCTGGCCCTCCGGAAGGTACAGGTCTGGTGTAAACAGCACAGGGTCCAAACATGGATCGTCTTTGGTTCATTGCATCTTTCGAAAGGATGGTTCGTTGAACCTCCGAAATCTTTTGGAGTTGGATCTGAGGTGACCCCATTTTTGGGCTAACCTAAGAAAGGCACGAGGGCAACGAGGGACGCCTTTGAATCCGCCCAGGTCCCGGAGGCCGGCCCCTCGCTCGATTCCACGCTCCGGTTCGCTTTCCGGGGTGAAGGAGCTCGGGGGGGGGCCGTTCACCAATGTCTGGATGATATCCTAAGGACTTTCAAAGGACAGCCAGTCTGGGGGGCTCCTTTTTAAGACATGCACAAAGGAGGCCAGTCTGAAAATTCCTTTTTAAGCCATGCCCATAAATGAGTGGTTGACTCCAAGATGAGTATCACACGCTGCGAGTCGGCCGAATCGATTCACATTTGCTTGCAAGAGCCCATGAATGAGGAGTCCCTGATTTTCCCTTCTCATCATCGCCCCATCCAACGGAAACTCGCTTCAAAAGAGACCAAAGGATCATGTTCCAAGCCACCAACAAGGGTGACATATAGGGAACCCTGTGAACTATGAGAATTAGAATAATGGTCATGGGGGCACTGTTAAAACCAAATTACGTCATAGGATAATAATAGGATTCACTTAGACCAGAGCAAACTCAGTGATCTGCCCATGACTGGGACCGCTAACTTTGCGCTGGTCCAGACTCATAAGGTGTCCTCTTTGAAAAGCAAACTGGAACCAGTGGACCGGTCTCTTTCTTATTTTCAAGAAACTGGCAACGCCTACTCAAGAGTCCTCCCCATGCACAACATGAATGTTGACCCGGCCTTTGTGGCTAGTCCTTTCCTGACGCGAGTAAGCATGCGGGGCTTGAGGCAGCGAAAGGTAGAGGGCAGAAGTAGGCACTTAAGCTCTGGTTGTGTGATAAATGTTGGTAAGCCCCAGTGTCCTCTGAAGTTAATAGACCCTCAAAATAGACACGCCCATATGTTCCAAGTTCTCTCGGTTGGAGCATAGGTGGACCCGCGGAAAACTCGGGATCGCGACGCCACAAAACGACCACTTGCGTTCGACCTTTGGCCTGCGGCGATGAACACAGTCCAATTTTGACCGGATGCGTCCACTTCCTATCCAGTTCTGCAGATCTGCATTCAGTTTCTTTTTGAATGACCCCTTCTAGGCGCAAATAGGCAAGAAAGAGAGACCTCTTTGGCAGGGCAAGGCCTCAGTGGGCCTTACGTTGCGCCATAGGTGCAAACAGACCAAACCCAGTGTATATGTCACAAACATGCTTGCAACAGATACGCGCCCAAGCCCACCGTTGGTACACAAAGAGCCCGAAGACAGCCATCTTCCTGTGTGAGGGCCTCAGCAAGCCGGGCCTGGCATCGGTGAGCAGCACGCTGCTGGAGCTGGCGCTGCCGCTGGATGAGGAGGGCGGCTTCGACTTTCGAGGACCGCAGCAGGCCATCAGTCAACCGAGCAGGACAGTGTGCCAGTGATTTCGAGGCGAAACCTCCAAATGACAAGGGCCTGTGCGCCTTGCGCAAGAGGGACCCCCCGCAAAGGTCTGGCCAGAGCGGCCTCCCATTAGGGTTCCAACTCACTTTCTGCCCAAGCAAAGATTTAAGTATCGCCTTTGCACGAAATTCGAGAGGCTGTCGCTGTGCCAACGGGCTCCGAGTGAAGCTTGGGAAAATCGCAACCCTTTCAACTTGTGACACTCAGCTTGTGGATGCTTAAGAGCAAGTTCCCCAGGTGGTTTTGCTGGATTGGTGGTTTGGAGATTAGGAGCTATCCTTCCACTTTAGATGAGATGAAATCCTCAAAGCCACGGACCAAACCATTGTGTAGATGAATTACATGAACGTGGGGGGGTGTTCCAAAATTTGAAGAAGGATGCGAACATGTCGCTTTGTGGTTGGAGGCCAGCCATCGGACCATGTCTAGAACCCATTTCTCTGTCTCCCAATTCTCAAGTTACAAAGTTGGGGCAACCGGTAGGCAAAGGTTTCCAAGCAGAGAAAGGAGGCAACATGGTGCAACCCGCGCTTGGTACGAAATGTGAAACGCGGATGTCAATGTAAACCACCGAGCCTGGCAAGTTCATGGAGAGCTCAACCTTGTTTTGACAGCGCCCCTAAAATGATTCAGCCATGCCTGAGAACGAATGAGATATCCCAGCTTCTTGCCCAGCAAGGAAGCGCAGCTTTGTGCGAAGTCGGCCCTATCTTTCGCTGAGGGCCGCGCATTCCAAAGAGTTCTCAGAACCCTTCCCAGAACCTTTCTGGGAAGGTCCTAAGAACCTGGGTGCCAGGGGCTTTCTCCCGCAGGTCTTCGCATTTCTGCCGGTGCGGTCTTATGGCCTTCCCTTCGCGCTGCAGGCAGCTGGAGGCTCAGTCACAGACCAGTTTTGCGTGTGGCCCCTATCGGTTTTGCTGGTTGATGGGTATTGGTTTTAAGTGGCCCCCCGCTATTGGGGTTGTTTGGTGGAAAAATATCGGAATTCACATGGCTGTTGGACTTTTTGACGAGTGTGGCCTGTTTCAGAGAGGGGTTCATGCATGCAACATCACCAGCACTTGGCATTCTTCTGGCCAAATTAAGGCAAGCTCCCTGATCAAGCTCGCCCATGACTCCTTCCCTGGAGATTCCTGAGTTTGTGAATCATAGGAGCTTGCCTCGTATCTCTTCTCTCTCGATCCATGGGAATTCGGCCAGTCTTGTTTCTTGCTCAATTTGTGGCAAATTGCTATCGGCTTCCCGCCGAGGACTGGGCAGTTTCCTCCTCCAGGGAGGAGCTTTTGTCTGGATGCGCCTGGAACGAGTTCCTGAAGGCGCGATGCCGGCGAAGGGAGGTGCAAAAGTTCAGTCGCATTTCAGCTGCTGCAAATAGCAGACTGCGACATGACATTCCCCCGCAGAGATGCGGGGTGTGAAGCATGAAACCGTCAGGCTGTATTTGGCAAAGGATTGAGAGCAGCACTCACATCGTGATTTGAAGGAGATCTGATTTCCATTCATCCACGTCCACAATTAAAAAAACGGGCAGAGAGAGCACCTGACTAGCCCATCAAGATGTTGCTCTTGGCCGTCCGGAGTCCAGACCAATGTTCCAGCGCTGGGAATGCCATGACTTTTTGCAGGGGTGGTAGAAAGAAGGGGCTGGCCCTGAGAGGGGTACAACTAGTGGGCATGTCATTCCTGAATTTGTTTGAACAAAGCGTAGCACTGAATTATTGATTTGTGTGATTGAAGCTTAAGAATTGAATGCATGCCTGTTGAGCATAACGATTCTTGGCAAATGGCTTGGCAATAGCTTTAAGCATGTTTGAGGGTTTTTTGTTTGGCCCTGGTATACACGGAACCAAAAGGCAGGCATTCATTTGTAGGGTCCTCTGATCTTCATACCTTTTCTGGGGGGGAGTCAAGAGGTGTGTTTCTGATCGAGCTGTTGGGCTGTGAAAGCTGAACTGGTTTCGCTGGGTGAACGGCGCAACGGGGCGAAACCTCAGAGATACCCACAAAATCTGTGGCTCTCGGATCATCTCTTGATAGGGCGTGGGCTGGGCGATGTTTCGCCCAACTTGCCCCCTCTGAACGGAGCGAATAGCTCGCGCCCAAATCGAAGGCGCAGCTGCCCGAGCTAATGCTGGCGCTGGCCTGGGGGCCCCAGTGTCGAAGGCTTCAAAGACCTTTGGTACATTTTGCCAAGGGATGTTAGGACTTTAACTTTTTGCCAACTTGGTGTTCCATGAAACCAAAAGTTAGACTTTTCGGGGAGCAGGAAGCAGCAGAGGAACGGCTTCTCGGGACTTCCTATGTCATGTCTTCGAATTTGAAGCAACTGGAACAAGTCGGTTGAATGACTTGCCAGGGCAGTTCTCACGAGTCACTGGCGTGCAAGCCTAAGTTGCTGAAGCCCACAGCAACAAATGGGCTGCTGCGGGCCTTCCCGGTACACAGCCCTTTCCAAGAGACATATTGTGGAGGGTGCCCTTGTTCAGAGCCATCCTCGTCTTTCAAAATGTCGACCCCAAGCAGAAGTGCCGCTTGATCGAGGTGGAGGCTGTGATGGCAAGCAAGTCCGAGAAGCTGCGGCGCAGCTTCTACGGCGCAGTTCGGCGGCCCAACTCGAGTCCGCGGTTCGATTGGCATATTTCCGCGGTCCATGGCGCATGCTGGTCACAACGGCTTGGAACGGCTTGGCTTGTGGTTATGATTGCCTCCACTTCAGGCAGGACATGTTGCCTGAGTTGACTGAGACTTTTGGCTGGGAGTCCACCACTAGTTCGACATATCCTGTGGGCAATCTCAGGAACTGGGAGGCCCCCCGCCTCGCCCCCACTCCCTGAGCTGAGATCCCGGTGGCTGCAGCCTCCTCGTTTTTCAGGCGCGGACCCGTATTGATGTCCAAATCCAACCCGACACGGGCGTATGCTTTTGAGGGTACCCTTTCTGGGGTGAGTGCGTCGCTCCTGAAAGCTGGGAAAACCGTCGCTTCGGAACGCTGATTAAGAATCGCTTCGGAACGCTGATTAAAAATCGCTTCGGAACGCCGGAAAACGTACTAATCGCTTAGGAACGCTGAAAGCGCAGCCACGTGCCACGCGCTGCACCGAGACACCGGCGAGTGCTTCGTTTTTGAACGCTGGTCCACGCGCTTTCCTAGCAGCTTGCAGAGCCTGGCGTTTGGCATGTGCAGAGACTTGCCCTCATTAGAGCTCAGTTCGGCGGGTGTGCTTATCATCCCCCCCCATCCCCCAAAACAAATTGATTGGATTTTGCACACCTTGGCTGGGATGAAGCAGTTCAGCGGGTGTGCTTATCATGCCCCCGGGTGCGCTTATCATCCCCCCAGCCCTCCCCAGAACAAATTAATTGGATTTTGCACACCCTTGCTGGGATGAAGCAGTTCACCGGTTGTGCTTATCATGCCCCCACCCCCACCCCCACCCCCTCACCCCCGAACCAGATGAATTTGCGCGTTTGGTTACAGAGTGGGCTGGTTCAGTTGAGCGGATGTGCTTATCATCCCCCCCCCCCGATTTTGCACACCCTGGCTGGGATGAAGCAGTTCAGCGGGTGTGCTTGTCTAGCGTTCGGAAGTGGTTGTCTACCCTTTCTGGGGTGGTTCTAGCGACAAAGCCAAAGGATGAAACAAGCACCATTGAAACCCTTGAAATCCCGCTAACTTGTTCAAACGGAGGCAAAACTACTATACTGTTTTTCGAAAAAGGTCTGGAAAAGAACTACAGGGGTGTGAGAGAGAGAGAGAGAGAGAGAGAGAGAGAGAGAGAGAGAGAGAGGGAGATGGAGAGAAGCCATGCCCGTATTTGGAGCAGGGCTCAGGGCATTGATCTTTGGAAGTCAGGATTATTGCAACCTCGATTGGTCATGGTCACCAAGCCTCTTGCAGGCTTCACCATCCTTTGAAATCTGGATTCCCAGCTAGCGACCAAGGGACAGCCATGATTGTGTGCTTTTGGATGGAAAACTGGTGGGTAGTTTCCTCATGGCAAGTTTGGAGAGTGTCTTTGCACCCTGCCTCTGCCCGCTAAGAGAGAGGATGAAGATTTGGATCGACCACCACTAAAGTGGTCCAAATGTGGTCACTGGCAGCGTGTTTGGGGGCGAACGGGTCCAAACGGTAAACCCAAGGGTCAGCCTCACGCCCGATGCGCGACTAATCCGCAGCCCGCAGGCCCGCCATTGTGCAGCTCCAGAGCAGGCTCCGAGGCCTCTCGAGCGGGACCGGTGGTCTCCTTTTAAAACTGCCCCCCCCAAAAAGGGTACCCTTGAAAACTCTGGAGCCCTTGTGTGCGCGCGAGGAAACGGTATGCTGTGCTGTTGCAAGGGCACCCCTCACCCAATGGCCAGGCTGCAAATGCATGCTCACCGACGAGGATTCCTTCTGCCTGCCGCAGAAGGCGGGTGCAAATTGAATTAGGAATGCCAGAGGTGCGAGTTGAAAGGCGGGGTTTGCCTTTCCTCTTGCTCTAGTTGCCCATTGTCCCCCTGTTGACCTTGTTGGGATTTCGTGCAAAGCAACCGACGCACAGAGGGGTGTTTTCTTGCCGTGGCCACTGGAAGCTGCTGACCCTGCTCTGCGCGCCACCTGTCGGGACACGTTGGCCTAAGGATGGGCCTCCAATGAAGCGAGGTGTCGCTTCCCCATTAGAAGAGAATCAAATGTCAGGACCCGAGTGTGAGAGCTCGCGGTGCAAAGCACGATGGGCATGGTGTTCAGATGAACTCTTGTTGGGAGATCCTTAGAGTGGGGTGTCGAAGGCAAATGCTAACTAGCTTCCTTTCAGCTGCAACATCGAATCGATGGTTCAGCATACCTTGCTACTGTCCAAGCAAGTTGCCGCCTGACAAAAGCAGCCCACCGACCCGGGGGAAGGGCAAGTGGGACAGTGATGTTGCATCAGATTTGGGTAGGAAAATTGAGGGACCCTTGGGATGTTGTGTCCAAGGGAAACGAAAGGAGCCCACCAAGTTTGGAGGCTCCCCTATTTTGAGACACATTTACTTCCAATTGCTGAAGAATATCGTATATTTCCCCTGTTGGCTTTAATGGGAATCTGTCACTATTGGAAATATGTGTTTTTTTTCAGGAGGCTGAAGCAAATGGAAGTTTAATCTGTTTGGTCTTTCTTGCCCTGTTGGCTTTCCTTCACTTTCCGAGATTCCAATGAGTCAACAGCCGGGCCAGGCCTTGCGATGTCCTGCTGAGGCACCGGTCCGCACCACTGCCCCCAAGGTAAGCTGGGGCATGGAGCCATTTGGTAACCCGCGTATAGAGGGGTAAGTGCATACCCCACCTCCCCTGGCATGAAGAGGTTTCGGGTGAGTGGCAGCCTTCTAGAAGACATTTGGACGTTGCCTCCGGCCAATGACCTCAATCAATGCAAGTTCTCGCAGGATGCTGATACGTTTTGATTCAGGTTTTTCACTGTTTCAGGCAGATCTACTCCAAGTTGCGTTCAGCATGTGGCGTCTTATCTTTCTGCACCAGAAAAGTGGAATCCATTCGTTTGAGCCTCTTATGTAGAATCGCACAAAAAAACATGTTGGGTGAATGCGCCCAAATGTGCGCCATCATTTAGAGCTGCATTTTTCTCCAGGAACTGCAGGAGGGTTCCCCATACAAGAAACGCATATGGCAGCGGCCTGAGAATGTTAAGATCCGGGTTTCAAGCCCTGAACTCAATGCCTCAGAAACGCGTGATTGATGACCCGGTCTGGTGTCAAGACGATTCGAACTTGGGACCCTCGAAAAGAGTCAGCTTTTGTGAAGGAGGGAGGGCATCCACTCCACGATGGTCCCAAAACAGCAGCGCAAACACGAGGGAATGGACCGCAACACGAACACAGGCAGCCGCTTCTCCTCCGGAAGCCAGTACCACCGATTCGGAGATGCGATTATGCAGTGAAAGAATGGTGCGTCTTGACAAAACAATTCTCGTCCTTGCGGTATAGATCACCCCTGAAGGCTGAGGGGTCTCTTGCTTCAATTCGCCTCTTTCTAACCATAATGGTCAGCTTTTCGAACCAACAGGAAAGCGCTTCCATTGAAAGGAGTCTCGTCCCTGTTAGCTAGGCCCGCCGCTGCTTCGGCGCGGAGTCACCCCTGCGGAAAGCCTTGGCCGCGCAAGGCGCCGGGAAGTGCCCATTCTTATGCGTCATATATATATATACAGTGTATGGTACCCCCCCAGGAAAGCCTTGGTCTATGGGGGAGGGCGAATAAATATATATATATATATATATATGCTCACCCCCCCCCCCCAGCAGGGCCTACTTTCCTGCAGGTGTTTAAACCTTATGTAGGCTTAATGCGTAGCAAATGGACTGTTGTTTGGGGAAGAAATGTTGTTTGGGAACAGAAGCCATCTTCGGTCCAAGGGAACACATTCTGAGCAATTTCTGCAAAACACCGCGTGTTTCTTTCAGCATTTTGTTGGACCTCCAATCCCTTGACATTTCCATTTTGGAATACCTAAAACCTAGAATCTGGAGATCAGAATCCTCGAACTGTCTAATGTTAGATTCTCCAAGCCTCATAATTTGGAGCTGGGAGTCCTCCAACAAGTCCAAATATACATTCCCGTTTGATCCGATTGGAATTTGAATATTGAGTAGAATTTGCATAATTCACCACAATTCATAATTCACCATAATTTATATATTTGATCAGAATTTGAACAGGAAAACCTTTTCAAATAAGAAAAAAACATGTCAGTAGAGTTTAAATATACTTTAATGCAGACAGATTTCAATTGGCTTTTGAACATAAGAAATGTTTTAAGAATCCCTTCCCAAATATGATTTGAATTGGAAAAGAGCTTATTCTGGAAAGAAGTCACTTGGCCTTTGCAAACAAGTTTTAATAGCAGCTCATTCCCAAATATGATTTAGATTAAATGTGGCTAAACAAACTATGGGCAAATATCCTCAGACTCCCAAAATTGGTCTGGACATTTGTTTGGCATGTGCAGGTCTCAGAGCGTTCATTGTCAGGAGATTTTGTGCTTTTGGGTCTGTGCAGGTTGCAGAGCTCAAAGCCGCAAAACACGGCATGGTTCAATGTTGTTTTTCCCGGGTGTACTCAAAACCACTGTAAAAATCAGTGTTTTCAAACAAAGCCAGAGTCGAGTCCGAAAACGGATTCCGTGTTGGCGTTGTTGCCTTTCAAGCGCAAACAAAGCAAGCATTTGCTGTCACATAGAAGGTAAAAACCAACAGAAAGACTGTATTTTACAGTGTTTTGAGGCATTTGCAAGAACGAGGCACACGGAGTAGAGAAAGGTAGGCCCTGCAGGGGGGGGTGACCACATATATATATATATATACATATATACTCCTTGTATATCATATGTCATACCAAGGCAATCCACAAGATTCTGAAAGGGCTTCCTGTTGCAGTCCTCATAGTAGTTGTCCACGGATGGATTGGGATTGGCCAACCTTCCATTGGGAACAGCACCGATAACATTGCGCAAAAGCACCCAAAACCATGGTTTGTTTTTGCTCTTTCGCAAGAAGATGCAGCATTGGCCATGCCAATGCCCTTTCATGTGTAAGCCTTTGTGTGGCGATTTCACCACTCAATGTTGAGAGGCTAGAGGGTGATGTAATGCAATGCACCTGTGTGACAGGCAAGTATGACGTTTCTGCTACAACTCGCCAGGTAGTGTCGTTTCCTCAGCGATTTCCCACGGCCAAGAGGTGTTCTGCTTCTCACTCCCAAGCTGCCGGCCCCCAAGTAAAAGCAGGGTATGGCCTTGATTCGCTGATAGTGATTATGCACCATACTCCGTATGTAATTGGGGTGGTTTGGAGAAAGTTGAAGCCCTCTTGCGGAACTGTGTTCTGAATCGGCCACATTTTGCCCGTAGGGAAAACAAACAAAAGAGGAAAGCCACTCCAGACTTCCAGGCAGCACCCAGAAAGCCACTCCAGTCCTTGCATGTGTTTTTTTTTTTTTTTTTTTTCGGATAACCCGCGCGCCAGGCCTGCACATTCTGCATGAGAAGGCTGAGCGTTCAGTTGGGACATGGGCGCTGCATGGGCCAGCTCGGGGGGTCACAAGGGAATCTCAATCCCTGAACCATGAACCATTGGGCGATGCTGCCTGTTCCCATGTTCACCAGCCACTCCTGGCTGGAGCCCTTTTCGATCGTCCAGTACGTCCGTGGATGTGTTCTTTGAAGGGACGCTTTCGTTTGCCGTTAAGGGAGTGCCATAGGAAGACCAGCCATTGTGGGAAATCCCATTTTATTTTATTTATTTATGTTTTTTTTGGGGGGGTTTCTTCATTTAGAGACAAGCTCTCATTCCAAGTGGTGAAGCCGGTGAAGCCTTATCCAGCCCAGGGAGAAGTTTCCAAGCATAGCGCGACAGGAAACGACTGGAAATTTATGGTGCAATTCTCAGAGAAGATGTGCTTGCTTCCATTTATCTGAGTTGAATGGGTGAATCATGGCGATGTGGGTTCAGACAAACTGTGCCAATCCGATGAGGAGGCAAGTCAACCTTTTCTTCGCACCAAGCTTGGGTCTCACGTTTCAAGATGGTGAACAACAATTTGTCATCCAGAGTTGCGCATCACGGGGCACACTGGTTTATCGCTCCTTTCAGGGTAAGCGACTTGATGAAACTTCTCGGCTCACATCCCCATGATGACGGCACTTTACAGGGGTGTCCCTGTTTGACAATCCGTCCCGCCAAGCCGATGTTTTCCATCCCCAGCGGATGTTGGGATGTGTTTATTTTGCTGGTTCTCAGTAAGGAATCAACAAAGGTGGTGGAAATGAACCAATGGATCCGCTTGAAATACCATCCGGAATGGCTCAGTTTGGGGTCATTCCCTTCTGCCTGTCGAACCAGCAAGTTGTTGCCTGAGTCAACATGTGCTTGGCTCGAGCAGGTAGAGGCCCATGCCCCTGCGGGACTGCTGGACGGCCGGTCGTCCCAGAGCTCGAAGAAAGAAGTGTCCCATGGAACACACTTTTCTCGGTGGCGGGGTGTTCCTTGTGATTTGAAGACATCCAGGGGGGTCCCCTGTCTAGGAAGAATCGAGAAATCGTGGCCGGACGACTGTGCAACACACTTATGTTTGGATGGGCTTGCGCGTTGCTTATGATTTTCGTGTCTGGAGAGTATGCGTTCAGTGATGGGTGAGAGTTTGGGTATTTCTTCCGCTTGATGCCGGGAGGTTTAGGGGCGTGATTTGAGCCCTTCCTTCTCGGAGAAAAAACAAAAAAGAAACAACGGGACGGGTCCACTCAACCAGGGATCTTGCATGTGGGGACGTAGATCCGGGAAGATCGTGAGCAGCGCCCAGCCCAGCTTTTTTGACGGCATCCCATCCAGTCCTAAGCTGCTTGGGCGGAAGGAAGCTGCATGCCTGCGCCGCGTTTCGTACGGCTGCTCCCGTTTTGCATGGGGCATTCCCAGAATCGCCTTTGTTCAATGAAAAAGAAGCGACCTTTTGACCTTTTGATTATTTGGTGGTTTCTCCAGTCCCTATTTAGGCCAAGGTTCTCCTTTGGTCCAGGTCTTTTGGGGCGTTCTGGAAATTGGGTTTATTGGTCCATCACCTGAGAAGCCACGGCATACCCTTCCATATCCTTCAACCCTGGGGTGTCTTCGTGGCAGTTTTCCTCAAAAGACCATGCATGCAGGGATATCCACCCTTCTTTTGGAAGAAATTCCCCCCCCTCCCACCACTCATCCGCTTCATCCGCGCTTAACATTCTCCCAACAAATCAACAAAGGTCAAAACTCTCGAGCGAGGTTTGGGTGTCTTAAAGCTCAACGCTGCGCAGCTGCTGCGGCTGCTTCCTGCAGTGGAGGCCAAAGCCGGGGCTCGGATTTTTGGACATGGGTAGCACTATTGGTTGAGGGCAGCCTGTTTTGGGGGATGTGTTTCGGGATGTGGGATGGTTCAAAGTTGCTTTGGGGCTGTTTGAAAGGGAAACCAAGAGCAAACAAGAGAAGGTTAGGCGCCCCTTCGTCCTGTTCAGAGATTGGCTGCTGTAACAGTAGGCAACTCACAGCTGCCTACAATCCGGTGGGTGCAAATTTAGTCACAATCATCACATCAAGTCAACACTGTCCTACCGGCGACGATCCCCCAGAGACACAAAATCAGATTGTTCGTCCACGGCCGTGCCTCCAAGAAGCCCAAAAAGGTTTTGGGGAGTGAATATATAAACCTCCAATTGGGAATGCCCAATTGGGTGTCTTTCACTGTGGTTGTCCTTGTAACAAGGGGGACCCTCACAACAGTACACACCCCAAATGCAGAACCTGAGAACCGATTTCTCTTTGGCTGCCCTCCCGCCATGTCGGTTTCTTGGGCTTTCTGTGCAACTCCTTGGGCGTGTCATTCCGATGTGTCGAAATCGGCAACCTCCTGTTTTGGTGGGTTTCCTTGTGGTTTCCCTATAAGAAGCCGAGACCCAAGAAAGATCTTTCCCCAAGAAACCAGCTCCGCAGGCCTTTCCGGGCATGGCCTGGTGGCGTCAATGCCTGGCGCTGCTGGACTGAAGTGGGTTACTATCAGGCCTCTCCCCCAATTACAAATAAAATGAGGGGTTGACACCTGCATGATTTCATCTTTCCCCTTTGTAGGGGATACTAGATACATGGAATTTGGGGACACACACACACACCCAAAGCAGCTTCCTTCGGCCGCCCTCTTTTGGTTGTCCAAGACAACGCACGAAATTTCGGGTCCAAGTCACCCTTGAGCTGTCGGCTTGCCTGAAGGGTCCCTATCTACACGAGTTCTGTGTGCCTGTTGGGAGGTGCACGCAGGATTTGCTGGGTAGGTCTTCCTGTAGGACCATGGGTTGAAGAAAAAGATCGACCTTTAGGCAATCCCACTCCCTGCGATACCCTTTCCCCCAACTTAAGTAGACATGGGACTCGACAACATGCTGCAGAAAGGCGCCCATGTTCTCTCCCGACGTTTCAGCGCCCTTTTCAGAAATCAGTCAGCTTCCTGAAAGATTCCTATTCCCGCAACTCAGGACACGCCTTCGCGCTCTCCGTTTGTGGTGCCCTCTAAATCCCTTCTGATTACAACTGAAATCAAGCAACCAAAATGGATCCCTCTTTGACCAGGAACCCGCGAAAGGGCCTATGTCATTTTTGTTTTCCATCAGCGCACTGGCTGCAACTGAGCCGTTTGGTCAGCAGGACGAGCTCCTGGATTCTGCGCCTCGGGGCGATGTGGCGCGACTGCTGGAGGAGCGGTGAAGCGGGGAAGGGAGGTTGGCGGACTCAACTCTCTTGACCTCTTGCTGTTCCTTTTAGGTCTATTTCTAGTAAAGGTCCCGAAAGGTTAGCATTTGATTTCCAGGGCCTTTGGTCAGGTGCGGCAGGTGAGGGGATGGGTACCCTTTCACTTGGCCGTTCGAATCGTTTGTTTGCTTTCTTGGCTTTCAAAGGAAATGGTTATGAGATGTTATGAGTTATCACCTGTCCTTCTTTAGTGGCGCCTTACGCAATTGGAAAAAAGGGTCCCACTTTCCTTTACAGCTGGATCCTGTCCTTTTCAGGTGCGCGCAGATGAGAAAGGCCTCCCAATTGCTTAGATGATCTTTGGTTTGACCTCAACAAGCTTTAACCTTTCAAAAAGCATTAACACGTTCACCACTCAAAGTTCCACTGTTGGCAAGGGAGGACAGACCCGAGTCATCCAATTCCCCCAAAAATTGGAACGAGGTGGTCCACCCCTAAAGAGAAGCATTCGCTGGTAAGGCATATTCATGAAGAGGGCCCTGAGGGGTTGAGCCTACGGAGTTCTACTTCGTTCCTCGTGCCAGCTGTATGGGAAAATGGAACGCTCACGCTTGCTGAGGGCGCATTCGGACTGCAGCAAGTGGAGACCGCAGGTCATCTGCATGGCGGAATGCGGCCAGGGGCAAGTTCCCTGCACAGACTACCTCGACATGCTGGTCCGTTCGCAGATGTGCGCGCACATCGCAGATTTCTTCTAAACGATGCAGTTTGTTGCTTGTGCCCTCAGAAATAGACTCCCAGGTGCCTCAGCCCCAGTGGGCTTAAGCAAATGCGGGTCTAGCAAGAGCCTTGTCCAGATCTGACTAGGAGCTTCTCCAACATAATTCTGCAACATAGTATCTAAGAAGATGTCCACTCACCTCTACGAAAATGGGATTTTTATGTACTCCGTATATAGTGATTCTGAAGTGGTCATAAGTCCCATGTTCACCAAGGTGAGTTGGGCAGGCGGTAGGGAAAAACAATCCTAGTGGTGCATTTGCTAATAGAGTTGGGTATCCCAGGGTCCCCACACATCATTCATCTGCTATGGGTTTGGTGTCCGCCAGTTTCCCTCGCACTTTCCGCTCAAATCACATACGAGATTGACAAAAGGGGGTGGTTCAGTTTGTTTCCATGGTCCATGGTTATACCCTGTAAGTGTCCTGAACATCCAAGTATCCCCTATGGGTGTTTCTCAAACTAGGGAACCCCTCAAGATGGTGAGTGTCATTCCAATTTCCCTTTAAAAGTCGTGAAAAGGAGATTTGAGGGTCCTCAAATTTGAGCCCGAATCGGCACCTCTCCGTTGCAGGTGGCGCGGGGGCTTCCGCTGCTGCCGGTTTCAGGGGCCAGCAAAACCGGCCTCTCCGCCTGCGAGGGCCTGGTGCTGGCGCCTGAGGCCTCCGAGGCCGGACGGTCGAGCGAAGTGCGGTCCATGTTGAGTCAAGGTCGCCCAGAGCCCTTTCTCACCCTTTTTTGGGGGAGGGTCCCCCTACTAAAATAGACTACAGAAAAAGGGTACCCTTATTCGAACCAATCTACTGGAGGACCTAGTTTAGTTAAGGTCCCACAAGGTGATCGCCGTTTGTTTCCGGATGTCAATCCGAGTTTTGGATACCTCTTTCGCGTCAGCTGAGACAGGAATCCCCGAATGTTGATGTCCAGCTTAGGTCCCCCAATACAGTTCACATCAATGCGAGTGGAGAAATATGACTGGTCTGTCATTCATTTACGAGGACGAGAAGTGTATTTTTTCTGCAAGAAATAGGGCACCTACCCAGCTGAGCCAAGTGCAAGCAAAATCAGGAGGAAACCCACATTTTGTGAGGTTCCCCTTATGTTGAGACAAACCCAAAATTTGCCTTTGGGTTGTGTCCCTGCGGGGTGTTGAGAAGGACATATCCTATTGGAGGTGGTTCACTTGTTGCTTGTTTGTGGTTGGAAAGAGGAGGAACAAGAAGCAACATCTTTCGTGTTTTGTGGTTGCTTTACTTTTTAGAGGGCAACGACAGCTTAAGAAGGAAGTTACTTGTTGCTGTGTCTAGGGGAATGGTTGTGGGCGTTTGTTCCCTTGTCGGTTAGGCTCAAAGGGGAAGCAACAAACAAAAGTGGCAAACACTGCTTAGGAGGTTCATATCCCATCTGTAGATCAGCCTTTGGGACAATAGGTTATGGGGCCAACGCGGTAAACACTCCTGAAAACGTGCCGGGTTACACAGTGCAAAGATTCCTAGATACTTCTCCAGAACAGAAAAAGTCACAGCCCGGAAGGAAGGCAGTTTCCGATTCCCAGGTTCTAAGGCTGTGATCCCGTAGAAGCCCCAGCTCGTTGCTCAAGGGGAGGACCATTTACCACTTGCCAACGAGACGGCAAAGCCAGCTAGGGTTCGGTTTTCAAGTTGTTTGGTTGAACTCGTGAGACTGTCCAAAGTGAAACTATCCAAAACCAGCAATTGGTGCTTTTTGCTCCCCTGCAAATTAACATGGACCCCTAGAAGGACATGTTTTCAAAAAATATCCCTTTGAAGGAACCCCTTTTTGAAACTCCTTATCTTAATGTGCAGGTTCCACTCAGAATTAGTGCATCCTCCAAACAATTCTCCCAACTCAGAACCAAACATATTTGTGCGATCTCCGTCCCTTTTTGGGCCAACCGGAACGAGTCAGCCTGCGCTTCCCGCTCCCGATCCGTAGATCCGTAGGCGGAGACGTTCCCACCAGAGTTGCTGGCAGAGCTGCGGGCGGTGGATCCTAGGCACTTTGGGCGACACTGACTCGTCGTTTGCCGCAACAACCCTGAGAACCCCTCCATACCCCTACAGTCTCGGGGACCCTCCGAAAAACAATATGCCTATCCCATCCCATCCACCACCCTCGGAAAAAGAAATGGCTCTGGATTTGAGGGGTGATTTGGTGGACCTACTTGGATATCTAGCCAATTTAGCAAGTAGGGGTCATAGCTATAGCCTACTAAGTGGGTTATCCCTATGGGTGCTTCTCAAAATAGGAAAAGGAGGGGGTCCTCTACTTGGAACCCCCCCATGTGTGTCGCCAAATAGGGATGAACCGGAAGAGAGCGAGAGGTTTGGTTGTAGCATGCGATTGACCCCAACCCAAAAAGGACGCGCTCAAACAGTCCCATAAAATGCCTGTTTTCGTTTTGGTTTCCCTACATACAAATATCAACCACACAGGGGCCAACATTTTGAGAAACACCCATGTGTCAAAATACAAGGTCTTAGGAAAACCTACACACACACACACGCTGAGCTTGTTGAGTTGTTGGCCTAAAGACTAAGATGAAAGCTAAGAAGAGCAAGCCAACATTCGGACTGGCAAAGCGACAATGGGGACTGAAACATACAAACATGTGTATCCTGCGATCATGAATGAATTTGGTTCAGCAGCTTGGCTGTTATCTTTACACTTTGAGTTTTTGGGAAATGGTGACCTTTCCCACCAAAAAGCAACAGTTATACTTTGGCGAGGGGGGGGGGGGTAACCGCCACATAGATACTACGAACATTCCCTCTCACCACCTAACCGGGAATATGACTGAATGGTCCTGACTTGGACCACTTTGCTCTTTAAGACACCGACATGATCTATGGAGCTAAATGATCACAAGCATAATTTGGTTTAGTACCCGGCCACACGGCCCCATGTTGGTTTGCGACAACCTAGGCTCGTCCAAGGGTGGTGACAGGTTGCCGTCCCAACATGAAGCAACAAGTGCTTGTAAGTCCATTTGTGGCGATTGCGGGGATGCTCAACCCGAGCAGGGCTTGTGAGCACGCAACAGCTGACATCTGAAAACGATGTGCTGCGGGTGCTGTGTCCAAGTTGCAGATTGCGGCAAACAAACAGTCCAAGCCAACGCTGCTATTGAACGGTGACTGACAGCATGGGGTGTTTGACTAGGTTCCCAACACTCTTGGTAGTTTCGAAGCATATTGTCGTGACATGTTACTGTCAGGCATACTGCTGACCTGGCCAGCTTCGCCATGCTCGTTTTGCCAGCAGCTGGTTGTGGGTGTGGTTTGGTGCGATTCTGGGATGCATGAAGGCAAAGTGATGCTTGTCTGTGCCAATTTGGTTGTACATTGCATCTTTTGCACATGCCATCCATTCGTGCAAAGCCTTAAACTTCATCCCGATGCCACCCTCATCTTTGCGCCGAGTAAAGGGCTAGTTCACTTGCGTATGTTCAACCGGGTTCTCGATGGGACCGGTGGCGTGCAGGAAGGATTCCACAAAAAGGGTGGACGTTGGTCAAAAGCAGTATCCTCCTTCAAAACACCCCGTGACAACAGCAACGTCAGGGTTGGCAATATGACCGGAATCATATATTCGTCCATTCTTCACGTGGGCACTTGCATTGCACATGCCATGTTGGACCCTATGCACATTCCAGTCACAGAGTGTGTGCGTGTCCTTCAAATCAAGCTGCCCGATGCAGGTTGCTGTCTGAGAGCAAGAGCCTCAGTGCAGATGAGCCCTCCCGACGGCTTCTCAGACAAGCTCGAGCATCCCCTTCGGAAGATTGAGAGGTCTACCGAGCTTTGCGGACAAATGAGTGGCACCCGGCTTTCCCTTGTTGTGTGGCAACGCCTCCGCTCAACATGGTCAATCCCAAAAGAGAAAATACACCGCGAAGCCGTTCCTCCAAAAGTGTGTCTGGCATTGAACAACTGGGAATTAGAAGGCTGGAGCTGCTACATTGGATGCCGATGGGCCCTTGACCCTAAAGATTGCATGCCCCAGGTGGAGGTGCAGAGAACGATGAAGGCCGGGAGCAGAACTGGAAAGAAGAAGCGGCTTGTTGGTTGGTTCTGTCTATCTGCTTGTCTCTCTGTTTGCTTTGAATGAGGACAAGGTAAACCATCCACGGGTCCTAACATCATGTTTCGAAGTCTGCGAAAGTAGACATCCGTAGCAGGTCTTAAGACTACATGGTTGAAGCCAGCGGCCAGTCAAGGCCCACCCATTTGGGAGGGCCACCCTTGGGGGCAATGCAGCCGAAGGATTTTGCAGGCTGATGCCAGAATCCTGGCACCAAAGCCCCAGGACTCCAACATTGGGATTCCCCTTCCCAAAAGTTGTGCCTCAGCCTGTGGTGCCATCTTCTATGTTTGCCCTTGAGTACATTGAGGGTAGGAAGGTTCTAAATCCGAGGTGGGTTAAACGTTGACCAATATCCCATGTCTTGCTTGCTCTCACTGCGTACGGAGCAACCAAGACCCGGAAAGTCATGGTAGGCCCGTCTTCTACAGCTGGAATAAAAGTTGTCAAAACTGGATGGCGAACACCAGGGGGTCGACAGACACTCGCAGAACCCTTTGTAAGATCCTTAGGGCTATATCAACTGTGGCATGGATCCCAAACAGGGGCTCCCCAAAAGGAGACTCGCGTAAAGACGATGCTTTGCCTTCTTGGGGGGGGGGGGGGCATGTTAATCTGCAGGGGGAGTATGTTCTTGTCCACTTCGCAGTGGCCCCTTGTTGCACGGATGGAGGCGCTTTGGCAGCGGCACGTGTCAGGAGGGCCCCGAGTGTTACGGGCACACAGCCATTCACCTTTCTGGGCTGGAACATAAGCTTTTGGTTGACAGTCTTGACAGTTGCCTTGGGGGATGGTCAAAGGCACAAGAACCATGTTATTTGGGTGTACCTGGTGAAATTGCGGGTTTGAACAGGGCAGACAACCCACGCTGGAGATTCCTTTTTTCAGAATACGTGACTTAACGTTGCTGAATGAGTCTGGGATCACCTAGAGTGCTGTTCCTGACTCTGCATGGGCCACTGTTTCAATTGGCCCACTGCTTTGGTTCTCATTGGTGACAGGCATAACGCGGAGGATGTATATCAGATGTGTGTGTGTGTGTTTGTTTTTTGTTTTTATTATTTTTTTCGGGCATCAAATTATTCTTGAGTGAATGGAGACGTGTTCAACTCAAGAGGGTGCAGCAGGTGTGTGTGTGTGTGTGTGCCGCTTGCAAGACGTTGTCAATGACAAGCTGCATTCCTGGGGCAACTATTTGTATATTTACATGATATCCCAAGAAATCCCGCATCAGCTTGTTTTGAACAAATTCGATGTCGCCCGGTCCATGGTCCATGTTCTGTCGTGTTGCGTGGGTGCAAGCATTGCAGCATCCTAAAATGGAATTCGGACAAGATATAGCAGCGTCACAACCGGGGTTGCGCCCTCACCCATGATGAAGTCCCTTTTGGGGTCCCTTATTTCAGATTCGTGACAGATGTTATTCTCAGAGCATGGAATGAAGGATGAAAGAAGCCTGAACAGACGACATGGAAGAATCGGTATGGCAACAGTCCATATGGTGATGCGTCGTGTGTCCTAGGTGGTCGAGCTGGACCGCACTCTCGAGATTGCCAACTTTGTCAAGGGTCATTCCGCAGGGTCCAAATCTCATTTTTTACACCGCGGAATCAAGCTCTTGGTGAGCCTCGATTCAAGGATAGACCTCCAGATCGAACGGCCTGACGAAACAGTGACCCAAGCTGCTTTTTGAACGGAAGCGGAACCATGGACAAAAGCAGCTGTACGAGGTTGAAGGTCCCAGAAGCCCTTGATATACTTCGGGACGTCAATATAGTTGAGGTGGAACATCCAAGCGAATCTGGGTACTTCAAAAAGAGGCTTTTTTTTGGGATCCCTGTGGCACGTTCTAAGGGAGAAGTAAAAAGCAATGGGTTCCAAAACGGGGATCTTTTGACCAAAAACCTGGCATAGCTTGGCATGGCTTGGCGGTCAGCTAAGTTGTTGTCAAGCCTCACAGCGACCCCATGCTACCCCTTCAAAGCTTAAAGCCAGAGTGATCACTGACCTAGTTAAGTCTTAGTCAATCCGCGCAAATAGAAAGATCGCAGAGCACGGTCGATGCCAAAAACTGAAACCTCTGGCCGGAGGAAGCTGCTGCGGCGCTTGGGTGTTTTGCCGCTCACGCCCAAGAAGGCCGGCTGAGTGAACATGATTCGAGTCTTTTCGGGGAACCCGTTGGGGTTTGCTTTCAAGGGCAGCCTACAGGGAAAGCACCCACCTTTTGGGGGGCACCATCAAAGCAAGCAGACGCTGAGAGAAAATGACAGAAGCTCAAACGGCTGAAATCAGGTTTTGGATGAAGAAGCGTGGGATTCCTCTCGGCAAGAGGGTGCAGGACACCTCTGAATTAAGTTCACCCCAAAATGTCCACAAGTTTCAAGTGGCGGGCGCGGTGAAACCCGTCGGACGCATTCAAAGGACGCCCAAAGGTGCAGGAAGCTTGATTTGGGGATCCCCCCAAATCTCGTGAGGTTTGTGGGCTTGAACAATGCGAAGGAATTCTTTGTACGGGAGTGCTCGTGCTTGTCAGCCACAGGGCCAAAAGGGCAAGCCCCGTGGTTTTGCCAATGACAAGTCAATTCTGGGAATTAGCTTGAGGACCCTTCAGCAACTGCAAAACAGCTCGTTTCTCGATGTGTATGCAGAGCCCAGTGCCAGGTCCCAGCAGTTTGTGTGTTTCCTAAAATACTGCGCATGGAGATGGATGAACATGAGCATTGTGATAAGCAACCTACCAACTGGTGCAGGATTTTGTCCATCCACAGTGTGGCGCCATCCTATAAACTGGCTTCGCTGTAAATGGCTATGAACCTATGAACTTTCATGCGGAACACTTTCAATCATGTGACTGATGTTCACCAAAGGGCCCAATTCCCCCCGCCCCCCGTTTCACAGATTTGGGGTACAACCTACTCACGAGTCAGCAAAAGCTGGCAGCGGTTTGTGGCGTTAGGGCCAGAAAGGTGCTCAGAACGTGCTTAAGACCTCCCATCCCTCTCACTCACACTCACACAAGGTTGTACGCCAAGCCCTTTTAAGAACAGGACACTTTCTGTTTTGCCAAGGGGATCTCCTGTAAGTTGACAGAGCCAGAAGCATGGGAATCCCACTTTGGGGCGAGACCCAGATGTTGAAGGTTCGAAGAGAGTTCCCTATATGTTGGTGGTGTTGACCGGCTCACCGACTTTGGGAAAGCGCTGAGTTCTCAGCGAATTTGTACAGATTTTTTCTAATCCATCTTGTACGGGCGGTGGCCACAGTGTCACTGTTGTCCCGATCAAGGACGCGTGCTATCCTCACACAAGGGGCCGGTACCTCTCAAGAAACGCGGTGATGTTGAACATCACCTTTTGGCCCCTAGGTGCGGTTCTTTGGTTGGGGTGATGTGTTTATTGTTTTGAAGGGACATATGGGGAACCCTCACGGATACCAAAGGTTTGCCAGGTGATCAAGGACATCTTGGCGCCACTCTTCCGCGGCGGAAGCCTCGGATTGGACGCGGCCCTGTCGGATGTGGGTCAGACTCAGACCAAAAGGGTATGTGGCAAAATAGGGAAGTGGATCCACAGAATTGGGGGGAGGGAGGTTCCTTTGGCTTTAAACCCCCAACACGGGGTACCCTCAAACCCCCCCCCCCCCCCAAAACAAGTAAAAATAAAATAAACGAGGAAAAACAAGAGAGCGAGCACTTGGTTTGTGGGTCGTGGCGTGGCAACGCGAAAAGTCACCCCAAGACATCCCAGACGGTCAATCCCAAGTGTCCGTGTGAGGACAAGGGGTGGATGGACAAGAAAGCAGTAGGATCACGGTTTGTAGTTCCCCTGCCTACAACAAAGCAGTAGGATAGCTGTTTGGGACATAATCCGTCAAATTGACCGTACCTTGTCACTTTCAAGCAAGCCAAGCCTACCTTCCAACCCAAAAAGTCCAAGCTTCGAGCAATATGAGGGGCCATAATCAATTTGCATTTGTACGTCCACTCCGTTCTTCTTATTTCTGCCGCTCCCTTGCAACCCAATGGGTCCAACAAAAGGAGCCCCCCTTCGAGGCGCGCAGGTGCCCTGCCTCATGGCGGCTTCCGAGGCGCCAGTTCAGTGGCTTCCACCTAAGTCCCCGTGGCTTGACGGCTTGACCCAAAAGCTGTCCAGTGGCCAACCCCAAAAAGGGAAGGGGCCTTTTTCCAGGTCACTGGGGAAGTGGACAGTTTCACCTTGCAAATCGAGTAAGGGAGCAAACGAGCAGAGGACCATTTACACAGCCACCAACGGATCGCAAGCCATCTACCCTTTTTTTGAACGGGCTTTGTCAAGAGGATGGTCCAAGCCCCTCCTGTCCACCATAGGCATGATTGGAAAGGCGGTAGCCTCAAACCAAACCCCGTGGGTACCAAGAAAACTTGCATGTACTTCCCATGGGACGTTGAAAATCCAAACAGAGTGGATATCCCCTTCGTGTCCCTTCAACACAACCCTGGAAATGGTACCCCAACATCCAACTTCAAGCACATACCAGTTGCTTCAATTTTTGAGCAAGTAGGTTTGTTGAGTCATAGACCTCGGCAACCCCTTTGAGTTTCAGCGGCAAAGACGCAAGCCCAAAGCCGTCAGGCGCCCAAGCGTGTGAGCGCCCTGCTGGCCTTCGGCGGCTTCTTGGCACGGCCCCCAGTGAGCTCCAGACTCGGGCGCTTCGCTTCCTGTGTCCCCCCGTTTTTGGAGGCGGGGGGTCTTCTTAAGGGTTCTCCTTTTTAACATGCCGCGAATACAAAAAGGAGAGCGCGAGTCTTTGTGTTTCCCCCATGGAAAAGTTGCTGAAAGCCTGGCGTAACGAGAATGGTGGAGGGGAGCGCCAGTGTGTTTGTGTGGTTTGCTCATAGCTGAGAGAGCTTGCTCTTGGCTGCAAACCTGCCAAAATTGGGTCTTCCTCATTTAGGAGACTGGTTCCCCTGAATCCGTGCCAGAGGCCGCACGCTGCCGACATTTTGCACATGAGAGTGTCTCAAAGAGTTGAGTTGGTGCCCGCTGAAACGCGTTCCAAATCCAACCTTGCAACCTGTTGCGGCTCTTTGGGAAGGGGTAGAAAGCTACTTTTTAGAGGGAGCCAAAAGCTTTGAGACAAACCCCGAAAGGGTAAGTGCGCGTTTCAAGAACCCTGATTATATAGGCATAGTATTTTGATGATGCTATTGCTCCTCACTGAGAAGCCGAAATGAGTTCCAGTGCTCCAGCCTCGCTCGTTTCCTCTTCACAAGTTCTGCAGGTGGCGATTCTTTCGTCAGCTGGGCAGTGCTTGTCTTGCCACGGGTCATCTTCTCCCAGGTCGCATGTCCAAGGGCAATTGAGCCACCATCAAAGCCGTAAATGAAGGACTCAGGGTTCCCAACCAGCTGTGGATATCCGTGCTTGTTCTTTACAAAACCCACCTCAACCCAGCTGCCACTTCAACCCGCAGAGAAAATCGCAGGTGTCGCACCAGAACCTGGCGGAGGACCTCAACGGCGCAGCGGTGGGGTGGCCTCTCCAGTGCCTGCAGCAGGCCAGCCGCAGCCCTCTTTACCCAAGAAAAACCTTCGAAATGAGCATTTTTGCCAATGTGCTTTCCTTTAAGGCAACCTCAAAGAGGGTGGCAAAAGGGAGCAAACCCATATTTCCACAAGGAACTGCAAAATTCTGAGCAAGCTACTCTGCCTGTTCCCTTCGGATTGTTAAGAGCTGGGTCGCGTCCCGAAACCTCCTACTCGTGGCAGATGTTCAATGAGCATGGATTGTTTCCCTCGGATTCCTAGGTTCATGTAGGTGTTTGTTTGTGCATCCCCTTCATCCCAGTTTTGCCTTCCGGGAACAGATGAAGATGCGAGTATGTTTGCAGATGTGGATGGCATGGTCTGCAACAAGAGCACATCCTCAGCCAGGATCAAAACTGCAATCCGTCTAAGCCAAACTGACCGAAAACGACGCCTATGTGCGGGAATGATTAAGTCGTATGTGGGGAACACGGCGTCATTGCACAGCCTTGATGTCAACATATGTCAACCAATCCTCACATGGCACAGGTTCACTTTTGGTGGTGTTTGTGCTCTTGAGGCTTGGTGGGCTTTCTAAGGTAAAACCAACATGAAAGCAAAGCTCGTTTTGGAGGGTGCTAACTCTTTGACGCATGCCTTTTGCCTGGCAACGGCGTCAGGTGGCGGTGGGCCGAGCCTCAGCACCCATGCTGCACTCGCCCAGAGCCTCCATATTTCTGCAGGCGCGGCCTTGCAGCTAGAGTGAATATCTGCGATCAGAGCGAAGTCATGTTCCGGGTGAAGGTTCCTTCCTTGGTGGTCCCTGATGTTCGGTTGGTGAACTATCATGTGTTGCCCAAAATGAACCCGATGCCGAATGCCGACAAATACCATTCTCAGTGTTTCATGGGGAACCTCTTGATTGCTTGGGGTGTCCCCTTTCGGCTTCTTCACTTGCCCCTAGGCAGGTTGCAGGTCTATGGCTCCGGGCGAGTTGGATACCCTCGCGGAGAGGGAAGCTGATCTATGCAGGCCGCTCAGGGGGTGCTGGACTTGAAGCTCCCTGCGGCGCGGAGCCCTTGAGTCACGAAGCCCGAAAGAAGAGGGGAGCGAACGTCTATTTTGGGGGGGGTGACTCGAAAATTTGGATGTTTGGTGGGGGGCGGACTCGAAAATTGGGATGTTTTGCTCTGAAATGTCGGGGCAATGGCCAAGGTTGCAGGCACTGCCTGTTTTAAGACAAACCCAAGTGGTGCCATGTCAAGCCAAATCTGGGATCGCTTCAACAATATATGAACCTGAATCCGAAAATGACATTTCTAGTTGCAGGAAATGCTGAGATAGAAATGTGAGGGCTCTTCGTTGAAAGTGGGCATTTGGTGCATTCATGGCTGGCTTGGACCGAGCATGTGGTCGAACCCCCGAAATACCCGCTCTCAGCCTGCATCCTTTTTTTTTCAAGACTCTGAAGTGATTTGCTCCCCTGGCAGAGAGCATGACGTACGCGAGCTGTGTCCCATCATTTTCCCGGCCCGGCCTTTGCCCTTCGAGCACCAGATGCCCGTCAGCAAGTCTGGCGAGTTCCACGCCAGGCGGAGATTTTCTGTTGACCAAGAGCGCAAAACGAGAACCAGGTGCGATGCAGATCACATCCAAGCGCTAAAGAATCAGAGCAAAGCAACGCGGCAGATGGTTGAAAAGCCGTCGATCCGACGGGTCACAAGCCTAGAAGGGTCACCAAAGACTAACGGTCAACTGTCCTTGAACCCAACATGGCCATCAGAGAGTTCCCTGTGTGTGTGTGTGTGTGTTTTTCCCCAACAGCTGAAAGCTTTGGGGTCTCAGCCCAGATAGGCTCCGGGGTGGTCGAGGCGGTTCCACGAGGGTTGCACCAGAGTTCCACCAGGGTTCCACTAGGGTTCCACGAGGGTTCCACGAGAGGGCTGCGGGGTGGTGCGAGCACAAAAAAGAGCACCGCATGCTGTTGGGGATATCACCTGAGCTCTTTTTTTTGGGGGGGGTGTAAAAACAGGTGCACAGGCAGTGTAAACGTCAGTGCCAAGCCCTTACCTGTACAACACTCTTTCTTCCCTGTTCAGTTTACATGTTTTGTTGCCTGGTGTCTTCGTCGTGTTAGTAGGGCCAAAAAGTGCGTTCTGGTGACCGCCTTCACGCCAGGATCCCTTCAAATTCATAGCCAAATGAGTCCCCAAATTCCAGCACCTCCCCTCTCCCCCAACCAAGCCCTCCGTCCAGGTGCCCCGAGGCATGGACGCGGCTTTCCTGGGCGAGGCGATGGGTCCAAACTGGGCTTTGGTTTAGATGTGTGGCCAACAGATCAGGTAGATCGACCGAAGTTCCCAAT